ATCCTCAAGTAACTTTTTTGTGGGTATGCTGATGGGGTGTGAAAGAGGTGAGGCAGGGGAGAAAGGAATTTTAATTTGTTTCCATTCAAACTAGTAAAAGAAAAAAGAGAGTTGGGCTTTTATTTTACATTTTTTTTATACACGCGCACACCCTCCTCCCAACTATATATTGGTTAGGCATATTATAGTGTGCGTTTGTATGTAGCTATCTAGAGCTGTATCGATAGATCTATCTTGGAGAGAGAGATCTATATTTTATAGTGATGTAGATCTATAGATAGATTATTTTTAAAGGTTAGATAGATAGAGATAGATACCTTTATTTTTAAAGGTGTTATATAATTTTGCTGTAGTTCCTTGTATCGGACTGTTTTGTACATTTTGATCTCTGCTTTTGTTGATCAAGCATTCTGAATTCTCTCATGCTGGAGGTGTGGGATGGAGAAGATGTCAGTGGTAGGATGGCCTCAAGCTCTTGCTTTTTGCCGTGATGGCTTTTTCCAGGCTTGAAAAAGTAGGATGAAGTCGATCTGAATAAATGGCCTGGCAGCATCTCTTCCCTTGCCGAAACATCTTGCTTTCTTTGTTCTTCACTTGCACTTCTGACTGAGTGGTGAAAATTTCTATTTAACTTGTTGCTGGTATGTGGTCAGCTGCCCTAACCACCAGCAAAATCTCTGCCTTCAAAACCAGTGAAATCGAAGGCACTTACTAGAGCTACCAAAAAACAGAGGTCCCCATGGTGATTTTAACAGGTATAGCTGTAATTAATCTGCAGAGGAATACTGTCTGCATCGATTAAATTTCAAGACGTCTCTACACCCAATAACTGCTTGTTACATACCACGGTCAAAAGAAGTATCCATATAATTCTCTAGAAGAATAAAACGGGGTAGTGCCACTTTTTACCATAACCAAGCTGAAACACCATTTAACATTTTCAAAGGCTTTCATAAACCAGTCTGTAATTCCAGGTATTGGTACTTAGCATCACATTTTTGTGGTTTAGGGTTGCAAGAGCTGTAAGCCAGATACAAAAAACCCACCCGCTGTCTTTGGCACTGGAGTACCTGCTGGAAAATGCATGAGTGTTTTTATGGATAAGTGACTTGGGTTTAGTGAGCTGCAGAGCCGTCATTCTGTTTTTATTGCCGTGTGGTATAAACTCATTTTCCTAGTGTATTAGTCTGGCATTCGGTGCAAGTATTGTTGTGGGAAATGGTGCCATTGGAAACCTAAGTGTGTCATTACTAATCATGGTAATGTAAACTAGTTGACCTGTCCTCTTTTTTTTGAGATGTTGCTGGGAAGTGGGAAGGGAGGGTGGGTTTCCGCCCCTCTCAAGTCCCTCTTGAATTTATAACTTCATCCTGGCAAAGCCCGAGTTCTGTTTCATGGTTACATCTTGAGTTCTTTAAACAAGTTTTTCATCCTGTGTCTCCACCCGCCTAAACTTCAAACACTTCATAAAGCTTTGGATCGCTCTTAGCTTAAATATTTTCTTTTATATTCACACATATAAAGTAGGTCAGTTTGGTATGTGACTGCCTTTTTGTGTGCGTGTTAAAAGGCTTTTTCCAGGTGGTCTGTGGTTGAAGTCATGGGTGTAAGTCCTGTGCATCTGACTGTGACATTCAAACTGGAAGCGACTTCCCATGAAAAATGACATGTTACTCCTGAATTTTGGGGGGAGGGAGTTATTGATGATATTGGACCTGCTGCTTCTTAAGTAACTCCAGGGATCAAACTCTTATGTGTAGTAAATGTTTCCAGAAACCCAAGTCTCAGAGCAGCTGTTCCAAAAGTCATTACTGAACATTGGTTGCCCTCCGAATCCTCCACAATGCTGGGATGTGCGTCACTGGCCTAGGCCTTTTGATCTCCAGTACAGGGAAGTGGTTGGCCAATGCAACCAATAGGCTATTTTTTTTAATTTTTGGTTTTATTGTCATATTGCTAATTTGCACTGCTCTAAAGCCAGCTGCAATCTGGTGAGATTCCACCCCTTCAACAGAGCAAGGCCGAGTTCCCTGCTGTTAATGGTTTGTTTGTGTTTTGGGGTTTTTTTAAAAGATGTTTCTCCTTTGGGAAGTTTGAGGGAGGCACCAAATTTGCATAAGGATGTAGGAATGTCCAGACTGAATTGGACCCGATGTCCAACTAATCAGGAAACTAGCCAACAAAAGCCAGTAATAGATGCTTTGGGGAAGATGCAAGAAATTCAGCACGTCTCAAAGGCGACTGCATTCAGTTGTGTGCATTGTTATTAGGTCTCAACCTGGCTAAGCTGGCTCTGACCATGGAACTTTATTGAAATAGCATGTTAGTATTTAAAACAATATTAATACTATATTTGATTCATTAAGTATACAAAGGCTAGTTAAAGTGTTTCCATGTGTGTTCTGTTAGTTCTGGCAGGAGGTTCTTCAGATGGTTTTATGTGGTTTCAGACAACATTTTAGCACATTCTTAAAATACCCACAAAAGCCTTTATGTAAAATCTCATAAATGTGAACCGCATAAAAAAAAAATATATATTTTTTTCCTGTTTCATGTCATTGGGATCAAAGTACAGTAGGTAATAATAAATTTCCAAGAAACTTGTTGTAGCTCCTCTCTTAATTAATGTTTCATGCTCATAAAATGTGTAATGGGGAAACTGTCTGTATGCCCCACTGTATTCTCATGGACTGCCTGCTCCGTTTGAGTGATTTTTGTACCACACTTATTATGAAGGTAGAGGGTTGTGCTTATTCCCTAACCTTTGAGCCCTGCTGCCCTCTTCTACAAACAAGTGTCAGTCAGGCTGGAACTTGTGCCTTCTGATCAGTGCAAAAGTGAGCCTGCTCTTGAACACGGTAGAAGGTTTCTGTAACCCAGCACTATGTTGGCTTATGCCTGCCAAGGCTTTTCATTTCTAGCAGGGGTAATATCAGGGTAATATCACCAGATAATGAAATGCCGTGGACAGAGCTATGCCTGTTTGCTACTAAATGCCAAGTCTGTGCTCGCTGGTGAATAGTGATGGACGCCTGTTAGAAAAGAGACATTGCTGTTGTGCAGTTATGACCAAGCTACCGCCGACTCCCTGGTTTCAGCATTCTTCGGCATAGTGGTGCATAAGTGTAGATTTGGGCAGGGTTCATTGCTGCCTGTTCAGAATAAAAGCAGCTGTGGGCTGCACGGTGCAGATAGGTTTGCTTGGATCTCACGGCATTTCTTTCCAATAAATTCTCTTTCCATACTCGTGTGTGGCACCTGAGGTCCCATTAGATCCTCCCTTTTCTAAGAGTGCTTTCCCTTGTTAGAATTCTCCCTACGTTTTAATCCTGTATCCAAAATCTGCCTTGCGTAGCACCTTGAGTGCAGTTGACAAATGTCCGTTTTCACATAGATTGGTGTTTTCCTTTTCTGCTGAGGAAGAGCAGTACGAAACCATTTGTTAATGAGCGCTCTGCTCAAAAGGTGTTATATTGAGGGTGAAAAACTGTAAGCTGCAAGAGGCTTTCTTTCTCTGCCTACTGAGAGCTGTAGCCCAAACAGCCTCTTCACTCACCTTTTGCAGCTGTGGGCTGGAGCGGATCCAGAGGTGGGTGAACGGGCCCTAAGACCCACAGCACAGTGAGCAGTCCCACGGCTGAAGCCCCACGTCTGCAGGGTGCTGACCTCTGTCCTAGCCTGCCTGCACTTTTATGCTTTTGGTTTCTTCCAGGCACATTTTTCAGCTATTACGTGCATTTACAAGTGAATGTCGTGAGCATAGGAGTTCTCCATCTTAACTAGAATTCAACAGCTACGTGAATCCTTGTCTTTCAACATTTTTGGCCGCTGCACCTGCAACAAAAAAAGTAGCCTTAAAATCCAACTGTTCTTGATTATGAACAATCAGGAGTTTGGAATGATTGTGCGCACCACTACTCATGACTAAGAGATGGCGAACGGAGATGTTTGTCAGCAGTGAAGCTGAGAGAGACCGACATGCCTGTACAAAATTTAGAGGAACTGTGATAAATTCTGTGTTATCCCGGAAAATTGAGGCTTTGTGTTTTTTGTGAGGTTGGGGGAAAATAGTCTTACTTTTTAGGTCATCTGCTCGGAGAGAGAGAGAGATTCATTACAGCTCCTTGCTTGGCTGGAGGGTGGGGTAGAGGGGAAATCTGAGTTACCTTGTTGCAATGCTTATTGCTGATAGCTTCAGTCAACTAATAGTTTAAAAAGTTCATCTTACACTTCCCATCCTCCAAGCTTACAGGTGAGAGTCAATGATTCATCTACCATGTGCATGACTGACCCAATACAGAAGATGTAAAGAAAGCAGACCGGGGTGGGGTGGTCTACAGAAATACTAGTTTTGATAGTTTGGCAAAAACTTTGTTTTGACCATCAAAGAGAAGAGTGTCAGCATTTTTTAATTTGCTCCTTGTCGCATACCAACTTGCAAGCACATTCCCAGTAGACTGACCCATTTAGATCTAGTCAGTAGTCCTTTATTTCCAAAAAACATTGGTTTCAATTAAACTCTGATTGGAATAAATCAAACAGTCAGCTTTCTTCACACTGCAGCATAAAGCCACTTACTTGCTCCCTTTTGTCTTAATTAGCAAACTTCTTGCTATAAAGAACATCCAGACTCCCAGTACTGAGGCAAGGAAAAACTAAGCTATAAAGTTCAGCTTTACTTTCACCTTAGTTTTGTAATTTGTTCTTTTAACAGCTGTTCTAGTTAATTGGAATCAGAAGAATTGTTTTGCTCAGGTACTGTAGAAATCTGTAACTAGCTGTTTATTACCAACTGATGTAAAGTTTTCATTCTCCTTGAGAGAAATGTATGATCACATTTTATTAGAACAAATGTGTATTGTAAAATGATTTGAATTGCTAAGCCCCTGGGTATCTTGGATGCCCTCAAGCAGTCTTTTTGAAATTTGCTCTAAGTGTGTGTGTCCATCCTGAGTCTCTCTGGCTTCGATCTTCCTCAATTTTTAACTTTCTTCCTGCAGGTATTTTGAAGGTGGAGTCTCCTCTGTCTACCTCTGGGATCTGGATCATGGCTTTGCTGGTGTGATCCTCATTAAGAAAGCTGGAGACGGATCAAAGAAGATTAAGGGATGCTGGGATTCCATCCATGTGGTGGAAGTTCAGGTAATGCCTCAAGGGCAGCTGATACTCTTAAATGAAAACAAAACCCAGTTAATTCCAGACAGTTAACAAGCACAGGTGCTCAGCTGAACAATGCAATATTGTATTGGGCCTGTAAACCTCTTTCTCTTGTTAATTTTTGAAAATCCCCTGAAGCAATCTGGAGACAGATAAGTCAGGGCTATAATCAGAAGGATTCCAGAAGGCTTGAGAATATGTTCATTTATGTGCATCTGACCGCATGTGTGTGTGTGTGTGTGTGTGTGTGTGTGTGGTGGTTTGTTTGTTTTTTACAAGTTTGCTGATAAATATCACTAATTCAGTAGTAAAAATGGAACACACGGGGGAGGAGGGGATTAAACTGCTCTAACCAGATTTGTTTTTAGGAAAATGGTGTGTGTATAACATCTTTAAAATGTTTGCTTTTGTGCCACTGTGGTTATACATTTCCATCTTGCTTTTGCTGGCAGGCCGTCCCTGGCTGGCTACCTATAGTTTTTTTTCAGTTTTAACTTCTCTCTGCACCTTCTCTCCCCCCACCTCAGGAGAAGTCCAGTGGTCGTACTGCTCATTACAAGTTGACCTCTACAGTGATGCTGTGGCTGCAGACTAACAAAACTGGTTCCGGTACCATGAACCTTGGAGGGAGCCTTACTAGACAGGTACTACAGTACACTAGCACTAGCCTATCTGGCACACAAGAAGCCTTTCTATTTTTGCTCTTGCAGTAGCACCTAAAAGGCTTGGTTTGGGTTAAAATCTCTGATGTGCACCATGTTGTATAAACACTTACATTTTTGCAGGTGGATTCACAGTCCAGTAGAAAAAGGAATGCTGTAATGAGTGCCAGGTAGTTATTGAGCACTTTGGCTGATGGCAGACGTTTTCTCAATAAAGCCTCCGAAAGAAAAAGCTTAATTCAGTAGGAATTTAGATTTCCATGCAAGTCTTGTAATGCTGCATTTGGGTGGTGGTACCTGAACTCCTATGACCCTCTCCTCTCTGATGTCCAGACAAGTGTGTCTACATTCAGTCTAATCTATTTGCAGTGCTTTTTGCAGACTTGCTCACTTCACTGCTGTCTGCCCTACAAAATCAGGTTGTGGCATAGGAAAAATTAGGGTTGGAAGAGACCTCAGGAGGTCACATCTAGTCCAGCCCCCTGCTCAAAGCAGGACCCATCCCCAACTAGTTCATCCGAGCCAGGGCTTTGTCTAGCCAGGTCTTGAAAACCTCCAAAGATGGAGACTCCACTGCCTCTCTGGATAACCTGTTCCAATGCTTTACTACCCTCCTAGTGAGAGAGCATTTCCTAATATCTAACCTGAACTTCCCATGCTGCAATTTGAGACCATTGCTCCTTGTTCTGTCAAAAAGATGTTGTCTTCCATGCTTCTCCATCCCAAACCGCACAGCCGTATGAGAGCGATCCTGTGTCTTGTGTTCGTGACTGGATTCTTGTCTTGACTGCTTTTTGACAACATGTGAAGATAGGACCAAGTACAAAATTACACTCCAAATAGACATCTAATTTTTTGTTGCTACCGCATTAGACTTCTCTTAAGGCTGGTTCTTCACAGCAGCTTGTTTAACCTTTGCAGAGAAAGTCCGAGCAATTACTCTGTTGCTAGGTAGGATACCGTCATACAGTGTTGGTGCCTAAGACTATTCTGACAAGCATTAGTAAGAATAGATGAGGATTGAGATATTGACAGCAACCAGTGTAGCTTCACTCTGAGCACCTCCAAGATGGACATTGTCTGTAATAAAATGAACAATGCAGACTCTAAAATGAATGATACAGTTCATATTTCTGTGAGTGTTTGTGCCAGGCAAGGGAATAAAGGGGCATGTGTCCGCAGAGCAGAATGGAACCCCTGCATTGCCACTGCAGCAATGACAATTTGCCATAGATCTGGATTTTTTTTTTCTTCTGCTTGGGTTGATCTACACAAACTGGTCAGAAAGCAAAAATATGCTTTTGAAAATGGTTGTTGGGTCTTGCATGCCATTTTTAAGTGTTTTACAGCAATTGGGCCTGGGTTACGGTGACCCAGACAAATATTTAATCGCGAGTTGTCCTAGTACTTTAAATCATAGCTGTGAAATGGAGGCCAAGGTTTTGACTCTGGTCGTGGCCTTGCAGTGCATGACAGCCATGCCAAGGAAAACAATAGCCTGTTGAGAATGGTTGTCCTCTGTACACCTTGGCCAGCACTGTGAAGCCTTGTTTAGTTTGACTTTCACTCTCTGGGCTTTAACGAGGAAATTCATGCTTCTGTCATCATTTTAACAGCAGATCATTTAATTCATGTGCAATGCATTAAAGCAGGGGCCTGCTTCCAATGTAAGTAACCATTAAAAAAAAAAAAAAAAAGGCCCTAGGGTAATGATGCACAACCTCTGCACAAACAATGGAAACTTGAAGTAGAGAATTTAGCTTCAGGCCTGAGACTTTCAGCTTTAGTACTTTAGTAGTCTTCCTGGTGGTTTTGTCAGAATCCAGTGCAAATGGTTAATTGGTCTTCAGGCTCGCTTGAACTGATATGCCGCGTGCGCAGGGTTGATGTACAGAAAAATGCATATGTTTGCTTTTTGATCTGTTTCTTTTGTAGATCATTTTTGTTTCAGAGACGTAGCCTTTATTTTGCTTAAAGGCGGCTGGGATAGAGTCCCGACTAAAATAAAAGTCTTCATCCTTCACACCATACGCCAAAGATTTGCCTTGTGAGCTGGAGTACGGTGCTCTTTTCTGGGCACAGCATTATAAGAAGGGTATAAAGAAACTGGAGGGGATCCAGAGATGAGCAATGATGAAGATTTTAAAAGGGTTAGAAAGGGAAAGCTTGAATGAATTTAAGAATGTTTTAATATAGAGAAAAGGCAGTTTAAGGAGGTGACCCTTGAGGGTTCATTCCAGCTCTGATGTAGAACAGCATTTTCTTTGATAGGTTTGTTGCACAGTCTGCCATAAAAGTCACCATTAAAAGAGTGCTTTAGTCCTCCTTGAATTGGGTTTTACCATTTGGCATCTTTAAGATACATGAACGTATTTTAGAGTCGTTGCTCACAGTTTTGAAAACCGTTTTTCTGTGGATAAACTCAGCTGTTTTGGACATCCTTCCATTTAAGATACTGCAGTGTCGATGACCACCTTCCGTCTGGAAAGAGGAATGGCAGATATGTCCCTGTTTCACTGGGGCCTTTTGAATTGTTCACAAGCTTCACAATATCTCGGTTTGTTGCATGGAGAGGAGTTTTCAGAGCCTTAGAAGGGAGTTGTGTGGAGAGCCATTGTTTTGAAACAATTTCAGCTTTTCCCTGCTGCAAATAGGGTACCCTTCAGTGATAACTGAAATAATTAGCATGGCTAGAAACAGGAGCAGAAGAACCTCTCATGTAATGCCTCCTGATTTACCAGCTGTGGCTGCTACAAATTCTAGACAAGTCTCCACCTTAAGTACTGTGCTGTGCAGAGCATGCGCAACTCAGAATGGAAATGCTTGCTTTTTAATTCCCATTTCTGTTGCCTGCTCCATGGCTGAGGTGGTCAGCCCAGCACTGCTGTTACTGTTGGGTATCTAGATGTTGGGAATTGGGCTGCCTTTGAAACCCTTCTATGCTCCCTGCATCTTCCACTATCACTTCCATTTAGCTGAGCACAGGTCTCAGAATAGCTGTCCTAGCCTTCTCCAGATTTCTGTTCCAGATGAAGCCAGCCAAAAAGAAGCAAAGACTCTATAGCATCTCTTTGGAATAGTACCTTAAAGCATTTCTGCTATGGAATCAGACTGCAGATCTGGAAATTGGGCTCTCTCTTTAAATAATGTGTATACATTATTTAGAGAGAAACTTATTCTGAGAAATAACTGTTTACTTCTCAAATGCTTATTTTAGAGGTGTTTTTCCTCATGTCACTGCTTGTTTGAGCATCCTAACCGTGGGATCTAGGACAGTTTGGATGGTGTGTTCTGGTTAGATTATTTTGGAGGTAAAATATTTAACTCTGTGAACTTAATGGCATTGTTAATTCACACTCTCTGCGTGCATGAAAGCCCTACCTGTTTCTATCCATTGAACTCCAAACAAGAGTTCTTGATGGCTTTAAAGGTTTCAGTACTTAAATACACGATGCAGGTCTGCATCTCTCAGTATCACAATAGCAATTTGCACTTGTAAATTGTCTCGTTTTCTTAGATGTGGGGCTATCTAAATGAAAAAAAAATCTCCCGTTTCTGTTTAAAATACATGAGTTACGCTATAAAGCCATCCAAAAAAAGAAAAAGAAAGAGCAAACCAAAACACCTTGATTCCTTGAAATGAATAGCAGTAACTGTCTTAATAGGGACTTTATTCTGGAATTGGTGGTTGGGGTTCTCAGCTTGTGTGTGACAGGGTTTTTCTCTCCACTTGAGCTGGAGAAAAATATCAAAAACTAAAATTTTTCACATGTTGAATTAACCACTTCAAGACCAACTCTGTTCCCATGATCCACTGATTATATTTTAACTTAGCTCAGAGAGAATTAAACCAATGCGATCTGTTTTACATTGGACACAAATCTGTGCAGAAGCAGGTTTTTTAGGTATAAGATTAACTTTCTATTGAATTTGCATAGCAGTAGTAGTATTTTAATCCTTAACCGTGTATTCCTGCATCTGTTTACATACTAGAAGCAGTCACCTGATTTATTGCAACATTACAGAGCTAGGTTTCCGCTGGACTGAAAGGAGAAAAGGTTGATTTGTTACCATAGTCCTTCCCCCAGAGTGCATGAAATGTTAGCAGGGATGCTTTATTTTCATCAATGGATAAATAGGGATGCTGTCCCAGGCACTTTGTGTTCAACAGACAAACTTGGGCGCTGTTCAAGAGAGATCCGAGTGGAAGCAGTGCAGGCCAGGATGGAGGAAGTAACTCCTAGCTTCGCATCCAACACTGGCAGGCTTTTGTAAATACAAGGGCTGAGGTTGGAACTTGGACAGGGACAGAGTGAATCGGGGGATTGTATACAGGCTGCCTTGACTGAGGATGGCAGATTGAGGGATTAAACAGCTGAAAGCAAATCATGCCACCTCCACCTTAAAGTTTAAGGGGGCAGCTCTTATACCTGTCTAATACACACAGGTAAATCTCATCCAAGCCTAGATCTTTGTGCTGCATCTATCTGACATAGTTGGAAATGCCCAGTTGCTTTTGGTGGTCTTCTGTTTTTGGGGGGGCAAAGACATGCAACTTCAGTAGGCTGCACTTGATTTAAATATGAGCAGCTGCACAGCCCTGCTCCATTTTATGCAAAGTAGGTGGGACCTTCAGGCTCCAAGCAAATGGTGAAAAGGGCACTTGGTTGGACAGGACTTTGCTCCCAGTTCAGAGGCAAGGCTCAACAGGTGTCTTTCTGAGACTCTGACACACAAAGAACCGGTGTGTTTTTTCCTAAATGAGGTTGAACATTGCAAGGAAGTGCCAGTTTGCTGAGAAAAAAGTTGGCTCCAGAGCTATGGTTTATTTACATCGGGAAGTGTGGGAAGGGGAGGATATAAATCTGTAGGGGAAATGTAGCCTGGGGTTTCAGATTAAAGCACCACAGATGTGTGCTAACTTTTTTTTTTTAGAGTTGAAATCCTTGCTAGTAAAGGTGGAATGTCTGCAATGCTGGATGAAGGCCGGTCTTTTGCAAGCTGAGCTTTCCCTGTGTTCAGGAAAGAAGTGCCCTGTGATATATCGTTGTGCAATAAAACACCAACAGAGGCTTTCTGCCATTTATCGTAATAGGAAAATCCTCCCAGGCTTGTACTCTGCAATTAGGCAAGTCATATATTTTCATCAAGTTGAGCTTCCAAGTAAAGACCTATCCCACTGACTTCCAGATGTTGTAGGACTAAGTGAAGAGTAGAACAATGTGCTTCCACCAGACAGATCTTTTTAGAAACCGTGATGATCACAGTCCTTGTTACTCCCTCCTAGTAAATGCCGCCATTCCTGGAAGTGCTCACTCTTGGCCTTGCTTTACTAAATCAGTTGTTTTTGGTGCATGAAACAGTTAAGATTCACTTAATGGTGATCGCACAGGGTGTTCTTTCTGCTTCAGATGAATGTGTTTGACTTCTGTTGTCCATTCATGTAGTACTGTTAGAAGGGAAAGGGTGCAGAAGCACAGAAGAGCATACGGAGGCTGACAGGAAGCCAGTAGGAAATTGAAGGTTTAGAATATATAATTTGGAGGAAAGAGAAAGTGAATACCTAAGCTACAGGTAGTTAAATTTTTGGTAGGTTTACAGGCCTTGATCAGAAAAGATTTACAGTAGAGTTCTGTAAAACTAGTAGCATTGGTGTATAAATTAGCATCCTCACATTTTGCTTTGAGGCATCTGGCTTAAATTTAAAATTAAACTTGGTGAAAATTGCCAAGTTTCACCTCTTATGTGGTATCCAGACACTTCCACACCTCTTTTCCACGTGAGCACTTGACTCTGTCCATCAGCTGAGACTCGCAAACCTTTTAGTTAAACCAGTCAGGTTGGGTTTTACTGGGGACATTTTGTATTTCTCCATCTCCAGAGCAGCCATGTACGTTGTCATCAACTCAGCAGTAATGCCAATAATGTTTTTCCTTATCTTTTTTGGGTTTTCAGGCAGTTTCATGATGAACTGAAGCATTTATCCGGCTTAGTTCTTTCATAGCCACTTTTTCTGCAAGTAACACTTGCAGCAAGCCCAGACAGCGCTCCTCCAGCAGCAAACAGCTGGTGTGTTCTGTGTACAAGACATCCCAACTCTCCATTCAGCTATCCAGAGCTTAGTATACCCAGAAGAGTTAACTTCCTTCGGAGCCAGACTTGTAGCAGATGGCTGGAGAAATGAGGCAAGGAAGCCAGCCAGTATATCTCTCGGATGGGAGAGGAGTGACTGGGACGTGTAGATTGGACTTGGCTTTCTGGAGTGTTAGCTTTTTTGGCCGAGCTCATCAGCAGATGGGGAGTGACAGTGGGAAGATGAGCTGCTTGTTAACATCGGTTTACAGAATGGAATTTCCCCTCAAAGCAAATCACCCCCTTTTTAGAACAGCTGTAGGCTTTTATTCTTTTTTTTTTTTCTTCAAACCTGACAGCGATAGCTCATTGAAGGTACCTTTTTTAAGGGGGGGGCGGGAAAATCCGTCTGTTTGTGTAACATGGCTGTGTACTGACTCAGAACGCCATTAAAGCAGCCTCTCGTAACATCTGGGCTTCTACAGCGTAGAAAAATGTTTTCCTTCTGGCAGCAGATTTTACGGAGACGTAATAATACACGGTTTACAAAAATAATTCTATTTTCAGATTCTGCTGCTTGCCAGCAAGCAAGGCCTGTCCAGGTGCAGAGCAGACTCGGTGGGGAGCCTGTGGGAAGTAAACCGGCCAGTGCCAGCTCCCACCGTGCCCCAGATTTGTTCGATTTGCTGATAGTCCCCAACCTCACCATAATGCATGTGTGTTTGTCTAGCTCAGATTTACATTCACCCTCCGCTGAAACCGGACCCTTTCTCTCGGCAGCGCGTCTCCATTGTATGTAAACAATCCGACTCTCTAATCTACGGGAAGAATGAAATGTGCTTGTTCCCCTTCCTCCTGCCTGTAAGGTTATTTTTTTTGCCTTCAGGTCTCCAACTAAATGACATGCTCCCTCAGGCTTGTTAGTCTCATAGCTTATTAGAAGGAACCTGTAGCTGCTCTCAGTTTTCAGACTTTGACCCTGAGGGAAGGATGCCAACAGATGGATAAGGGAATTCAGTGGGATTATTGAAAGTCTTTGAAGAGTGCTCTTCCCACCACATTTTTTCCCCCGTTATGCTGTTTCAGCACATCTGTATCACTTGCCTGTCTTGGGATTGATGCTCATTGTTTTGCAGTTTGTCTATATTTAGTAAGAAGAACTTTCAACTCCTAAATTAGGCAGAGGAGCCAGTCTTTTCACTAGCACCGCAAGGTTACAGATCACATAGGGCTGGCTGTGTTCTACAGCTGAATTTTGCTTTACGTTAGACATAGCCAAATGTGTTGAAGGGAGCATGGCATTGCACTACGTGGCCTCCCACTCATTCTTGGTGGGGAGTGGTGGTTTGAGTCTCGGTCAGTTTGCTCGGTCACCTGTTCAAGCTTTACTCAGCACTGAACAAGGCAATGTGGGCATTTTGCTCATTAAAGCAATAATGTTAAGATCAGGGCTGGATTTTGTCTTTGGCTGCAGGAGCATCATGTTAAACATCACGTTAACTGAGAGTGCCCTGCAGAATAACCTTCTATACCAAGCATTTCCTGGTCTCTTATGTTTTCTCAGTGTGTTTTCTGGGATTTTTCTGTTCCCATGCGCCTTCATCCATAGCAGCTGAAAGCTGGTAGTAGGCTTCATTATCACTAATCTGGCTGAGGTCTGGTCTTTCCCTCCCAAAACGCAGCAGCTTAGGGCATCTACTCTTTTCTTCCCACTTCTGATGAAAAATAATCTCCAAGGTGAAGATCACTAGGAAATCCTGAAAATTATAGGCTGTATCCCCATGAGTTGTTACAGATAGCACTGAGATGAAGATGAAAAGAAACAGCTGCTTTCACAAGGATGCATTCCAGCTGTTGGACTGAGCACCATGCACATGTGCACCTCATCAGCAGCTCTAGTGGCTTCAGATTTGGACTGCTTTTGTGTTCCCCACCAAAGGACACTTGCATGCTGTATTATGGATCTAGTGCAGTCACATAATAGACCATGAATGGCCATCCTGTAATGTCCACCTGTTTTTTGTTTGTTTGTTTTTTAAGCAGTGGTGGTGGGTGGGTGCTGGTGCCAACAGATCTCATGGGGCAATAGGGTTACTTTGGGTGAACTAGGAGTGCAGTGAGAAATCTTTGAAGGAGGCATGCATCTGGAGGCATCCAGTCTTCAGATCGCTTGCTCCACACGAGAGAGCTTGTGTTGGCTGGTGTTTTGAGCTCTCGTGACACTGGCTCCGCAATTCCTCTCTGTGAAACACTAGCTCTGGGCGTTTCCAACCTGCTAACAAACCATATGCTCAATATATCTGACCGTGCGGATGAAGCTGCGTTTTACTCCACAATTCTACTTTTACTTCATTCTCCCATCCCCAGTGTTAGTGAGGGGAACTGCCAGTGTCCCCTGCTACCTCCATTTCTTCATTACAGCTGCACGTGTTTTTTTTCCAGATGGAGAAAGACGAGACTGTGAGCGATTCCTCTCCACACATAGCCAATATTGGACGCTTGGTAGAGGTATGTACACTGGAGCCATAGCAGGTGTGGTCTCCCAAGAACTTTTTGCCCGTATGTTGCCCTGCATGTCCAAACTTCTTGTTGTTTCTTTTTGTATTAAACTCTAATCATATTTTGTATCGGGACTAAACTTCCCCAGAACTCTTCTCTGTCTGGGTTAAGGCTCCTCGGCTGCTTTGTAGTAGCTCTTAACTGTGAAAAGCCCTTCCCTGCATGGTTTGTAATGGTGCTTTCCTCATCTTTCTCCCATGCAAACAGTCTCCCAGTCAATACAATAGCAACCTTCCTAGAAATGAAATAGTCATTTCCTGAGAGCTACTAAACATTTTCCCACCCACACAGTCATTTTTACAGTCCTTATTTTTGACAGAATTATTTAAGAGCTATGTTGTAGTATACAGAGCTGCCCTTTTAGCAGAAATGTCAGCCTGGAGTAAGTGCTCATTAAATGTGCAAGAGTTGCTCCTTACAGTGCTTGGTGTTATTGCCATTATCAGTCCTGTATCCTCAACTGGATTAGAACTGGAGCAATATTTGGTTGCTGATGCAGAATTTCTTGCTCTGTTCATACAATATCCTTTTCAACAGACTACCCAAAGCAGCACGCATAAAGCACATTTAATTTGGGCCTTTTGGTCAAAGGAAGGGAGACCAGTGTTTCTGACTGGGTTGAACTGGAGCTGGGCGAAGGGATCAATGCTGGTTGGCAATATCTTTCCGAAACTGGAGACAAGTTGGTATAGCTGCTGTGCTCTACAACAAGTTGGATTATCAAATTGACTTCATAAGATCTTCATGGGTCTTAAATGGCTAACTCAGAACCTAAGAGTTTATTCTGTGTTGTGGATAAGCATTACAGAGCGGGGATAGAGAATAGTGTCCTATTTGCAGTGGAATACAAAAAAAAAGGTTTATATCTTTGTACAGAAACTGCCCTCTTGTGGCCCTGGACAGGTATTTATGGTCATCAGACACTAAAGGGAGTTGAATTTAGACATTAATGGGAATTGCATAACTGTTAATTAAGAGTTTTGTGGGGAGAGCACATGTCTGATTAAGAGAATGATTATATATGGGAATATAATTGGCCAAACCTTGTTATGGGAAGTATTTGTATCTCTGCAGTTTAACTGAGCAGCGGCAAGAGCTACGCATGGGAGCGTAAGTAGAAACAACTGCAGTGATTTAACCATTTAACGTCTCCCTTCCTTCTAGGACATGGAAAACAAAATCAGAAGTACGCTGAATGAGATTTATTTTGGAAAAACAAAGGACATTGTTAATGGACTGAGGTAATGGACTCTCCACAACTAGTTTTTAAAGCCCACGTGGTCCTCGCTCTTCCCATTATTATTCCTTTCACAGTCCAGCAGTGATGTGGCTTTGTTTTTCTAGAGCTTCTCCGTCCCTATGGAAACTTTCCATGTGTCTAGTCATTTCGCTGGTTTTGAAAACTCTCTAGTGGGCGGTGTTTTTAGGGAACGTTTCTCCCCATACCTTTTAACTGCAGGAATTTGCAGCAACACCTTAACCTCTAGCTCCTGATTCTCGTATATCTTTTTGCAAAGTCAAACCATGACAGGGAATTGGAGAGTCTGTGAATAGAGCTTTGTGCTTTACAAAAAAGGTTCCTAGTCTTCCTTGTGACCCCTCGGCTGAAATGCAATTTACTAGAGCAGATGAAGAAAATGACCCTGCTGTACACTTCTGTAGTTTGACCCCCTGCTCATGCTCCGTCAGGAAGTTTTTTGCTAAGTAACACCAAACTTTGTTTTTTCTTTAAACTCTTGTGGGGCTGGGGGAGGATACAAAGCTATGAGGTATTTGAATGCTGAATCATTCTAAATTTAATTCGGAATAAACCACTGGAATGAAGACTATCTCTTTTCTGTGCTGAAGTAAAAGAAATCAGCAGTCCTACCCTGCACTGGGTATAAATGTCTGGCTCAGGGGTTTGTGTGCTGAGCTGTGGGTGGGAAGGTTGTGAGTTCAAGTCTGGGTGTGGACCCAGAGGCTCGTGTCCCCTTTGGGTTTTGGCATGCCATGCCAGTCCCCAGATTTTTGGTCTTGTCGTCTGGTCTAAATACAGTACTGATGGACCTGTGCCTTGCTAATGACTGTATGGCTGAAATGAACACAGCTACCCAAACCCGATGGAGTTGTTTCATCATGTTGAAAGTTTAGGTTTGGAAATTGAATGAAATTATGATGAAAGTTTAGGTTTGGAAATTGAATTTCTTGCTCTGTTCATACAATACCCTTTTCAACAAAAGACAGACTACCCAAAGCAGCATGGATAAAGCACGAATGCATCATTTTGGTGTGCAGGGTATTTGCCAGGCAGCTTTCATTTAACCTTTATATATGATTTATTCTTTTCCTTGTGAACCTTGTGGAAAGGTACTGTAGTTGAATCAAGTCCTTCCGATCCCCCGGTGGCTGAGTTGAAAAGAACTGTTATTTTGTGCACAATGCCATTATCCATTTGGAACCTTTTACCACCCGGTGCATCTGGGTTCAGCTTTTCCTCCTCACTTTTTTTCCCCTGTTTCTCTGACTCGTGTGTATTTACGCTTGTTCTTCCTGAGCTCGCTGCTGGTGGTTTCCAGAATGCCACCTATCTCTGTTACTGAGTTCCTCTGACTGTTCTTTTCCCTACTTTTACTTCACTCGTTTCTGAACTACTCTCTGTAGATCTATTGATGCTATCCCCGACAACCAAAAGTATAAGCAGTTGCAGAGGGAACTTTCTCAAGTGTTGACCCAGCGCCAGATCTACATCCAGCCTGATAACTAAACCAATCCAGGTACCCCTGCCTGTGAGGTGTGACGATTGGCACTAAATCCAGACTCACCCAGCCAAGAACAGGCTGTCTTACCACTGCATGACTACTGAAACCAGAACTAACCCATAACTGTCGCAGACTGATGACCAGTTTTTAATCCGTCTCTCACCCTAGGGTTCTTGGCTCGTAAAACCAGCTAGTGCCTTGACTTTTTTTTTTTCTGCACACGCGCACACATGCTCCCCTTCCCCTTCCCACCTCCTTATTTGGAGATTCATGCACTGAGATGTGGGGGCAAGAAATACAGCAGATAGTCACGTACTCATAGTAGTGTTAGCTTGTACTCTGTTTGTCCCTGGAAACTCTTGGACTCTAACATCAGCTGTACAGGTTCCATAATGAATTCATTCCCTATAATCTTCAAGTACTCCCTTTTTCTCTGAGAAGCGAGGAGGAAAGATTTGGAAGTTAACGACTGTCATTTCAGTTGTGGCGAAGCACCTCTGTGATACTTCCAGAGACGTCCCAATCTTCGCAGATCCCCGCACCTCACAAATTTTCTGTTTTGCCTTGTCTTGGATTTTCTTGGAGCTTAAAAATTCAGCTCTATGCATTCTCTACTGAAACATTTCTAGCCTCCACTTGCCTGTGCTCTGCACAGCTTGCAAAGGGCTTTGCTCTTGTACTGTAGAGTTTTGATTTGCTTGGGATGCATGGCAGTGACTAACCCGGGCCAGTTTAACCTTCCACTCCAATTCCTAACGAGTTACAGATGTTGTCTTAAACCCATTTAGCTGACGAAGGGGAAAATGCACTGTTTGTTGATAATGGCCAAGAACCATTACTTTTAACCTGTGACAAATTTAAATGTAAAATGTATGTATTTTTTTTTATAAAAGCGGCAGAACTCTCCAGAGACAAGAGAATGGAAATATTTTCTAATACCATTAGGAAAATAACTGACACAGACAATGGACTTGCTTACAGGAGAGAACACCCAGGCACAACTAGATGGCCATGCCTACAGGAGAGGGTGTGAAATGCAAAGCATATGAAGCCAAGTCCAGCTAAACTGGATGCCAGTGGCTTCCTGAGCTGTTTAATGGGACAAAGACGCTGGGATTTGTAAAGATGCATTATCAGATTAACATTATTGCATAGCTTGATCTTTTATGATCTTTAAGCTGTGTTACAACAAGATACTTTGCCATGGCCATCTTAAACATATCCAAGACGGTGCCCCAGCTGTGTGGCTTTTCTTTCTAGCTTCCGGCTTCTACTAAAAGAAAACCAGTGCTTTATTTTTGCCTGCAATACTCTTATCACCTCTGTTCTACTTCAGTGGCTTTGATAGTGACAGCTGTATCTGATCACTTGAGGTGAGGAATAAGCAGATACCTGAAGAACAAACTCTTTGCCTATTCTGTGTCCCAAGTAATAAAAGAACGACGAGAAATACACCTGTGTATAAAGCAGAGTTGTATTACCATATTTTTTCCCATGAGCTGCATGAGGTGATGGCAGCTATCAGAACTACCTCTGTTATAAATCAAAAAGAAAGAGTTATAAAAAAATGAAAGGATTCTAATGCAGTGGCTCTCAACTTTTTCTCAAACTGACTCCCTGATCTCTGGCTCACTGCCCCTATGGGGTTTGTAACCCCCAGCTCGATAGCGGCTGCTCTGGAAATCTTCTGCATTCCTCTATAAAGTAAGAGGACAGTCGCTCTTAATTTTCTTGGGAATGAAAATACCTCCTCTCCTCCTCTTGAGCCCCTGAGCAGTATCTGAGACCCGTTTTCTGGCCTCACCATACGTACCAGTGAGAACCACCCCAGGCGTCCCAGATTTGAAATGTTATTTCTCTAAATTCTGTTTGGAAATCCTTGATGAAGCCTATGGTTAACTGTCCTCCATTTCACAATGGAAAAGGGTTTTGCTCCCAACATGGCAGATGGCTCATTAGGAAGACACAAGGATTCACTTTGTTAGAAATTGCAGCTATTTAATGTGCACTTTTTATCAGCTGAAACTTTAAGCAGAAGGTGCCTAGTTAGCTAGCTGAATTTAAAGCTGTGCGTCATGCAGCAAACAGACCCGAATGGAACATTTTTCATGTGGCGGTGGAGTCCGTGGAGCTGCTCTCAAGTCAAGAGTTCAAACAACTCATTTGAGCTCTACTTTAAGCCTTGCTTGTTTAATGCCTGGTTACAGCAGGTTCTTTTCTGTCCGTGGTGAATGCCGTGGAAGAGAAAGGTTGACATGTTTATCTGAACTCTTATTTCTACTACATGGAGAGCCCACCATCTGGGCCACTTCACAGTTGCTATAAGATACTATCCAGTCTTAACTTCATGGACATTTTGAGTTTGTCCAAGTTACATCTGGACACTTCCAAACTCTAGCGTAAATATTGGAAGTCTTCCTCCAGGAGCAGGAGGCACAGTGGAACTTCAGGGGAAGTTTTTTATCTTCTGGTGCAGTCCCCGCTAGAGTGAATTTAGCTTTGGTTACTTGCAAAAATGCTCCGTTTTATTTCCATCTTCCATGTTTGCTCCAGGCAAGCAGAATTTGTTTCCTCTGAGCCTGAGTTGACGTGCTTGTGCTATTGCTTCAGTCCCCAAAGACCTGTTAAAAATTCCTGCTTTAAATGCACCACTTCTAATTTGTGTTTTCCTTCCTCCCAACAGGTCTGTGCAGACTTTTGCAGACAAATCAAAACAAGAAGCTCTTAAAAATGACCTGGTGGAGGCTTTGAAGAGAAAGCAGCAAAGTTAAAATACTCTTCATGCTAACAAGACATGCCATGCACTCATTAGATTCCTTTCTTAGAAAATTCATTTTCTCCCCTGCCCCCCTTTTTCTGTTACGTCATGTCACAGTTTGCATTCAGTACTATCCATGCAATGCCATCTTCTCCCTATAAATAAAGCTGTACAAACTTTTTCAGTCTCTGAGGCCTACTTTGCACCCCATTTTACTATCAGGACCTTAGACTCTGTTTCCGTAGAAGTCATGTATTTTATTTTTTTTTTCTCTTCAACCCTCCCCCATTTATATGCATAAACACCAATCATTCTGTTTGTCTGTTCCTCCCCTTCCTGCCTTTTGTTACATTGGTGTAAAAAATGTAAAACAAAAAAATTTATTAAATACTGTGGTGTGTGAAAGCGGAAGAACTGGAAAAACCTATTCCACGTATGTTTGGGGGCTGGGCACAGGGGATGGCTGGCGGGAGGGAGGGAAGAGAGGGTGTTCCTCGGTGTTGTACTATACTGACTCAACCAGACGTGCAAGGGGACATTGATTTGGTGACCTGCTGAAAGTTCTGCTCTTCTACAGCCTGGTTCCAAGGCGCTTTTCTGTCAATTTTTATGGAATGCAAAAGGGGATTTTGTTTTGATTTATTTTTGTTTTTTGTTTTTTTTTTGTAAAGCTTGAATTGAATCTACATCTTATACTTGAGCCTCCATACTAAAAAGAAAAAAAAAACTTAAAAAAAAAAAATGACAACAAAAAATAAAAATAAAAAAAATCCCGGGAAGCAGTGTGCAGCTTGGCGTCCTTCTTGTTTCTCTCTGTTCCTTTCTGTCGAGCGGCTTGGAGTTCGTGTACCGGATGCTGTCCTCCATGGCAGCAGTTGCATCCAGATCTCGAGGTGCAATTAAAACAAAAAGCAAGCGTCAAAGGTTTTGGTGAATCCAGACGACCACCTAGCCTGCGTGGTCATGGAAAGCAAGTAAAGCTTTTCGTTCCTAGCTGAGCTGAACTGGATTTGTTTGGAAGGAAAGGCTCGCTTCTCAGATGGAGTGCCTCCCGCCAGCGCAGTATGGCTGTTGTTCATTAGCTTGCCATACTTCCACAGCGTTGGCACCAGGGTGCTGGCACCCTGCTGCATGTTGGGATCCATGCCTCAGGCACGCAGCAAACGCAAAACAGATGTATTCGGAAAAGAATCACAATATCAGGCTTTCCCTCCGCTACGTTTAACGCACACCGTTAAAATGCTCACGTTTGGAGAAGAGGCATTTTAGTCCACCAGCACGTGGCAGATTTGAAACGCGGACATCTCGAACCAACTGTAGTGATGGAAGGCCATTGTTCAGCTTTCCCTTGGTTCTGTACTTTGCACTGGTGGCCTGAAGGATATTCTTGCTGTTGGAAATGTAAACTGTGGCTTCTCGCAATAGTCTTTAGTTCAGTTTGGAGGAGAATACCCTGTTGCTGAAGTAGCCAGGTGGCGATGGTCCATCTTCAGTTGAAGCTGTAGCCCAGCTGTAGGGAAGTGATCCTTGGTGGAGCGCAGCCAAACTCGCCCCCCTGCTCTGAGCTGAAAATGTGGCCTGATGGGCTTGTTAAACCTTATTTCTCTGGTGTTTGGAGACTCCTCTTAAACAGCTACAGACCTGCTGCCTGCTCTTGTCCATTCGCTTCAGGGTTATAATGAACTCCTAATCCTGGGAAAATACAATGAGAATAAATGCCTTGCAGGCTGTCAGCATGTGGCTGGTAGGGCCATTCAAAGGAGAGATTTCAATGCAAATGTGAAATGAGAATATAGGCATTAATATTGATTCAAGTGCCCTTTCTATTCTAATTGTGCTTTTCCAGGTGACCTGTTTAGCATTCACACATCTGCATGTGGTTAGGCACTGTGCCAAAGTGTTCATCTGTGGGCCTCTGGTTTCCAATTTGCCTCATGTGAGGCAAGGGCTGGGGCAGGAGAGTCACTGCACATGCCCTTGCCTTAAAGTTGGGAAGCCCCAGGGAAACGTTTGAGCTTTTTTTCTTTGGTGGTGTTGCCGTTTGATTCTGATGGGGAACGTTTGAAGTTGGATCGAAGTTTGTAAGCACTCCCATAGTTTTGAAACTGCAGGTTGACCTAGCAAGGGGAGTTGCCTGCTCCTTCCTGCTGTTTCCAGTTTTAACTATTCTGTGATCTGTTTTAAAGTTCCCCCTTTAAGAAAATAATAGTGAATTTCAGAGGAGCCTAGACCACGTGGGTCTGGTCTACGCAGGGATTTCCTACAGGCCGTACTATTTTGGGGCATGACTTCTTTTACCAAAATGGCTAAGCGGGTAAAGCCCCTGGTGTTGTGCTGTTTCATAATAGCATAGGTTTTTCCACTCCCCTTTCATAGGGGAATAAGCCATGCAAGTGTAATTGTGGTCATGAGTGAAGGGAGGGAGGAGGGACATATTTACTAGCCCTGTATAATTACAGAAGTCGCACCACCTTGTGTGGACAAAGTCTTCATTGAGAATAAATTACAAATTAAAGGCAGTTCAGTTGTTCGTCAGAACCCACATGATGTAGTGGATGGGATGCTGGCCCAAGACATGGATTTGAAGTTGGTTCCTAGTTCTGTTGGTGGCTTCAAGCCGTGATGATTGTCTGCCACGGTACCCGTTTCCCCCCCACACATTTTAACAAATTTAGACCGAAAGGTTTTTTTAGGGTGGGGATTGTTCTACAGTGCTTAGCATGACCAGTGTCCTCATCTCACCTAGAGCCTCAACAGGCTGCTGTAATACAATTAACCTCCTTCCACCAGCAAATACACAATTGTTCCTGGTATTTATGAATTTGGTGTTTAAAATACCAGGAAAGACCATGTCTGGATTCAGATGTAGTGTCACAAAGCTACACTACAGTGGTCTCCTGGACCACCCTCCTCACATACTTCATCCAGTTCAGCTCAAGAAGTATCCTGGGGGGAAGAATGGGGATGACAAGAATGCGGTCTCTATAGTCTTACTGATTTTAATGGGTTGGAAATAATGCCTGTGACAGTGGTAATCTTGTCCAGCTCTTTCATAAGCCTTCCACCACCTCCTTCAGGACACATTGGTGCAAACAGTATTTGGATTTAACAAGCAGGTTTTCAGGTTTTACAACATAACGTGTGCTTTATAATCAAGCCGCTGTAGTCCATTTCAATTCCTGACGATACAATGCAGTTTAAAATTTAAGTAGCTGCTTACCTGGAGAAGTAATCATTTAGTTTTCATTTGACAGCACCTGAAAGGAGTAGCAGTGACTACAGCACTACACTTACGCAGCCTGTCAGCAGTGCTCCATTAACACGAGGCTTCAGTCCAGAAGTTCAGACTCTACCTCGAGGTGAGCTTTTTCTCGTCCTCTTGAAACTGTTACTTCCCTCTTTCAGGAAGATGGGAATAGATTTTGATTTGTCACGCTTCCCTAGCTATGATGAAAGGGAGATCTTCAAACCAGAACTGCTCACATGCATCCTCGCTCTGATTTGCGCACACAGCTCTTGGAAGGAACTTCGTTACAACTTTCTCTTAAGATAGACATTGTCCTTGCTACCTAAACCTGCCTCCACCATGGTTAACTTGGTAACTAATGCATGTTGCCTACCTGAAGATAACCATAGTGAAAACTAGGCACTTAAGCTTATTCTACTGTAAAAATTTCCAAGATCAACTGTGCACTTGCAGAGGATTGATCCTGGTGAGTTTACACTACAGTAAGGTGAATGTGTCTGGGCTTTACCATGTTTTCACCTTGAGGGACAAGGAGAGATACCAAAAAATGGGTTTTGGCCAAGGTGGTTTTATGTACCTAGCAGGGGAGATCCCCTTCTTCCCGGCCATGATTGACTTGGTGCAGTGGAGGATGGAGACCTGACCACTGCGCTGCAGGCAGGCACCCGTGCGAGACTCTACTATAGCCTCCCAATAGGAGGATTTTGGTTACACAATTTATGATGAAGGGGATTGCTCTGAGGCTCTCTCTGGACTAGGGGCAAGTGAGACTAGGTGGCATCCGACTTCGAGGGCCTCTAGGCTTGGGGCTTGCACATAGGATACCTACCATGTATTTGGGAGTATCTGAAGCCCCAGACTGAAGAGTCTGGGAGGTAGGATACTCGCTGGTGGTAGCGCCACACAGATTTGAACAATGAGCTCTGCTCAGTTGATAAAATTCAGAGCAGTTTGGGCTAATTTGGCTTGAGACACTAAATTAAAAAAAAACAAAAACCCAAAAACTTGGCTTCTCAACTGTAATGAACTGGATTTCACATGCTAATTAAATGGTATTGCTTTACGCCTCTCAGAAAAACGGGCTTATTCTAAGTAGCATAAGCTGGACTTTAAAAAATCATAGCGCATTAAGAGGAGATCAGTAAGGATTTCAGAGGCAAACTCGGGCCGTTTAGGAATTGGAAGGGGGTAAATGTAATTCCTGGCTTTTTAAAAGCACGAAGAAAAAGGGGAACTGTGAATTAATGTGAAAGTCTTGCTGGCTCCATTCAGGGGTGCGGTAGAAAATACCTGGAAAATTAAATTAGTTTGGGAAAGGCAGTAAATTCAGGAAGGGGAGATTAGTTAACTAATCTGTGCAGTTCTCCAGGAAAAAATAAAATTCCTGCTATTTTTGTAGATAAGGGAAATGCAGTGTATGGCCTGGACTTAGAAACACTTAGTGACTTCTGGAGCTGTGGTTAATGTGTAGTTGTACAATAGGGAAATGCCTAGGAAGGTTACTGATCTCTGATTTTAAGAGGATTAGAAAGAACCCCAGGAGTCAGTTGTGCAGCTCTTTCAGCTGTCGAAGAACAGGAAGTTTGCTATGACATTGCAATTGCAGAGAAACGGAAAACAGGGATGATGTTTTTAAAGCATTCACAAAAGCAGTGGCTAAATGCTCCCCTAGATCTCCAACTTCGGAATTGGGAAAGCTCTTTTATTTCAGTCTGGAGACTTATTTTCCCCTTACTGCAGAGTAATTGAAAGGAAGGTGATGGTAACAAACTTCTCCTTAGTTGCACTCTTTTCCACTGTACAAACAAGTGTTCTTAGCAGCCCTCTTTATATGCTTGCAGTCACTTGAGAGGCGTATGGGGTCTGTATCAGCTCTGAAATCCCAGTTACCAGGAGCTGTGTTCTGATGATAGGAGAGAAGCTTTCCTCTTGTGAGTGGATACAGCCCTCTTGCGGCCAAACTCACGCAGGTCTGCCCAGCCACTGGAGAGAAATAGAGCTAGGCAGTAGGATGTTGAAGAAACCTGCTTTTTAACTTCATTTTTTTTCTCCCTTTATCTAAACTTCCTTGGCAAAGGAGCAGCTGGCTAAGGCACCTAAAATGTTTAGGAGGAGTCTTGGTGGATTTTGATAGGGCTGGGTCTGTACTAAAACAAGTTCATAAAACCAGACAAAGACCATATAGCAGTCTGAAGTTTCCCTTTCTTATAGTCACCTAATTTATAGGCCTGCTGTGCTCTGGCTCATAGATTTGCTATTGCTGGAAGGCTGCCTGCTCTTTACGGCTGTCAAACCTACCCTTTCCCTAGGTTGAGCCACTCTGTTCTTGACAATAAGGAAGGTTTAAGGTCTGTCTGTCTCTTCCTCGTGCCCACTTATCTATTAAATCCACCTCCATAGAGTTTTTAATATAGTTCATTTCCCCTGTGCTAGATTAAGGGTTAGATCATCATTCACTTGGTTTGTATTGAGCCATGATACTGGCAAAATATTAATTAGTATAAGAGTAGTAGAGAGGGGTTAGAAACTGGGGATGACCTCCCTCATTCACTTGCACATGAATCTAGGTCTTGCCCAGAGAGCTCTTTATACTGCTTGAATTGTTTGCAGTCGCACACAGCTGGTAAGGGGCAAAATGCTATTGCAGAAGGCATCAGTGCGCACCAGCTTAGCTAGTCGTAGCACATCAGCTCAAATACTGTGACGGCTCTTAAAGTCATTCTGCACATTAGTAGCAGTTTTGTCTGGTCGGAGGGGAAAGCACTTCTTTGTGTTTTATAGGTCTTTTCCATTTGCAGGGCTTGAACATTCAGCACATCCAGGATATTTAATCACATGCATGGACCAGCTATCTTAGCAGTGGTAGCTTCTATATCAATGGATTCAAAAGGGTAGGTTCTTGAATTTTTTATATGGTCCCTATGGTATCACTTACCTGCAGGCAGTAGAGATAGCAAAGGCTTACAAATTCCTATTTTGCAGGCTCTAAACTAAAGCTATATACATTAAAACAGGAGAGAGACCTAGGTATGGAACTCAAAAGTGGAGATCAAAATGGACATGCACTTATTTGTTTTTTCCTTCTCTTTGGCAACAAGAGTGACAGCGGTCAACTTAATGTACTGAACCTTTCGCACTCCATCTGGACTTAAAAGTATCCAGATCACACTATAAGCTATGTTAGAAAGGCTATATAAAGGAAGCCAGATTCTCAGGCCCTTATCTGAATCATATCATCATGCTCAAGAGTGTGCCAATACCCCACCCTGCCCCTTAAGTCTTAGCTAAAGGGAACTGGTTTAATGGCAGTGGTAGCTCTAGCTCCCCACTTCATACTAGTTCAGTTCATAAACACCAGTTTGAGGGATTTTAAAGACTCAAGGATGTTTGTTTCCAAAACTGGAAAAAGCCACCCCTGCTGAGTCTGGTTTGACTCCATTGCCAAGTGGAGCAGTCTGTTATCTTTGCCATTAAGTACAGCAGTTTTATGATCCAGAGCACTGAGGCTTTTAAGCCCACCACTATTAGCCCTCTGCAAGTCAGGGAAGTATTAAAAAAACCCAAGTCCAACTTCAGCGCAGTTAGGGTCATATGCTGCAGGGGCAGGGCTCTGGGATCCTGCGTACAGATCCTGGCACCGCAGCCTCCACCATGTAGCACTAAGGCACTGTGGTGGCTCATGGGCTGCATGCTAGCCCCTGGCAGACTGCCTGTTGGACAGCCTTGAAGTAGAGGATTAGACTTGGTACAAAGCGATTTACCGTGTGGCAGCCCTTTAGTCTTTGGTAAAGGAAACCAGACTCTTTCCTACTCTTTAAGTTTTCCCTTTTGTAAAGGCTTTATAGAGACAAGAATTGCCCTGTTGCATTTAGGCCAAATCTGAGATCACTTTTCTGCCCCTTTGTGCTGCAAAATAATCTCTGGTCTTGGAAGGGAGTTAAAAATAAATTTTCAAGGTAGTATTGGCAGCTTCCCACCCTCTGCTCACCCCAAGTAGTTTGCTATGCAGTGCTTCAGGAGAGAGACATTTTAGACCCACCCTTCTACAAGACACCCACTCTCTGGAGCAATTTAGCATGGTCCTTGCAAAGAGTGGCTGAACAGAAGCAGGTAGAGATTGTGTTGCCCATTGTATTTGGCCTAGGGCTAGTACAATATGTCTTAATATTCCCCTAGTTTCTAAACCATTGTGGGGATGGGGGGGAAAAGCTATTTTGTCTAGAGAGAGACTTTTACCGACTCCCTTTCTCCCACTGAAACCTAGGTCAATAGGGAAGCTCACAAGGTACCATATCATTTTCAAGAGGGGTGGTTTTACTAGGGAGAGAGACGAGCCAAACCCACTTTTGAGACACGAAGCCACAAGAGATGTGCTGCATAAGGATTTATTTTATATAAAGTTTGCAGCCAAAAATATTAAAATGTGTATACACATGTATTAAAATACTTTACCCAGGACTGGCCTCATTCCCTACCTTAAAGGCCCAGTGACTAGACCCTCAAAGGTGTAGCTGAGAATGGTGATAACATAGCTGTGACCAAGCAACTTCCACTTAAGAGGGTCAGCCTAAGCTCCTAGGGTCTCTTCCCTTTTGGCAGCAATAGCTGGCCTGGAGCTAGTGCAAGACCTCCTTTCTAAGAGAAAAGAGGGAACTGAGTTCAGCTACAGTACTTAAATAAAAGGTGAAAAGTGACTGTGATCCTGGAACAGGCATTTCCCCAATATTTATCCCTTTAACATCATTGGTACCAGCAGGTGTGACATCTGCCAGCAGCATCCTGTGCCACACAGCCAGGCATAATCCCTCAGCAGCATACCACACACTGGCTTGCGTTCCCTTTCATTTGGGATCGCCCAGAGACAGGTGGGTCTGGGAGTCCAACGTGCCTTGGTGAAAACCAGCACTCTCCCGCGCATCCTGCCGTTCCTGCACTGGGCTAGCTCCTCTGTCAGCTGCTAAGAAGGGCCTCCCTCTCTTCTCGAGTACTAGGTCTTCTGTTCCGATAAGCAAGGAACTGGAAGGAGATCTGAAGAGGAGTTAAGGCCTAATTTCCTTCATCCAATGCAGTAAATGAACATGCTGTATAGCCAGGGAGATGGATCTATTGCCTGGGGTAAGAGCGAGGTTGGCTCTTCTCATGCAATGAGGTCTTAGAGCAAGTGTAGCAGGGCAGGCAGTGGCCAGGCCCCCATCCTGCTAACAGGAAAACTTACTGTAAGGTAGTTTGGAGTAGCTGGTTGTGACAACATTATGTCAATAGGTCATTAACACACAGGAGAGTTCGGATGAAAAGACTATAGTGCAGCTTTTCTAGCCTCTAAACAGGCCTCTCCACCTGCCACCAGGGAGCAATTTCTTCAAGGTACTAAATACTAGAACTGGTATCAGCAAGAAAAAGCATCTCAGGAAAAGGATACACCAATGTCGAGAGAAAGGACACCCAGACTGCCGATCAGCCACGGGAGGTGGTGGAGGGCATAGTCGCCTTTGGTTTGCCCCGGGTCGGGGTTCTTCAGAAGCACGCTCGCTCCGTACAGCGTGTTTCCCAGCATCACTAGAGCAAAGAGGGAGTACGACACCCCTGCGGTAGACTTCCTTTTGAACTGGAAGAGGGGAAACTGTTAGAAGGGGCTGGGGCTGCAGTTGTCAGAGAGCTAGTCTACAATTCCCACAGTAGCTTCCCCTGCTCTGCTACAGTAAGCCAGTGCTTGCAAATCCATACCAAGCATTGTCTCTGCCAAGAAAGTCCTACAAACCCACTTTTTGGATACTCAAGTGACAGAGTTGGCTCATGCCCAGAAGCACCAGTTCCCCTCTTAGCTGTAAATTGAGCAAGAAGAGTTGTTGCCTCATGGTGGGATATTTACATTTACTAGAAGGAGGATAAGCAGCTGCTGTCTGGAAGCTACAAAGATGAAATAAAATCAGAAAGCCAGTATGCAAACGCTGAGAGAAGTCAGGTGGTGCTAAAGGGGATGTGGCTGGCTAGTGGCCTGGAGCCCTCTTCCAGCCCTACCAGGGATGGAAGGGGAAGGACTTCCCTGCCCTCAGCTCTGGAGTCTCAACATGAAAGAGACCTCTTTGTACCATCTTCCTGTGGAAGACAAAAGCTCAGAAGCAGAACAGCTTTCACCCCACCCACTGTACTTACATTAGTGTAGATCTGCGGCACTCGGGACAACAGATACATCAAGGAGGAGAGTGAGCCAATGGCGAAGCCAATGATTTCCTTCTTGGTGAAAGGCTGCAAGGCAGGACATGTAATGAACAGTGCAGCTTAGCACTGTTCACTCACATGCTTAGCACCTGGGTGTTTTAGGAGGCATACAGACAAGCTTATGTGACAAACTTAGAAATGCGCTGTCTTCTCAGCTGGCCGATTTAGTTCTTTGGATCACATAGCCAGTTATTCCCCAAAATGGGGTCACAGCTATCCTAATCTGTCCAACTCCCCAATTCCAAATCCAGAACATCCAGAGTTAGAGAGGGACTCACCTCATGCCCAGACTCATCCACTGCAGCAGAGAGAAGTGTCCTCCCTTTCATTGTCACCATTGTTTCCTGAGCCAAGGAGCCACCTCCACCGAGTAGGGAGGTTGTTGACACCGTTCCCAGAAAGATGAAGGCAAAGACGGCATTAATAGGAGCAAGGACTGGAGAGAGAAAGCAGAGACGAGGTTGGAGACATCACCAAGTGTGCACATCTGTGATGCACTATTCTGTTGGCTTTTATTGTATAGGGGGGAAAAAGGTAACCTAGATTAGGGTGAAACATGTAAACCCTCCTTCCTTGGGAAGAACAGAGACAGTGTCACCCTAGGCATCGGGAAGACGTTGCTTTTATTATGTGTTACATGCAGGTATTGCATCGCCAATCAGAGCTCAGCAGCCAACTGACCACACATTAAAGTGATCACAGAATACTTCCAACACCACAAAAAGTTGCTGTTTAAGGGTCAGTTTGTGTGGCTGATCAACCATTTTTAATCCAGGGATGAATCGGTTTAATGTCTGGCATGTTACAGTTTGCCATGTGATACTTGCATGTAGCATGCAACTCTGCCAGAGGCCCCAGGGACGAGGGAAGCACCAGTTCCACTGCAGCCAATTAGGATTTTGCAGGAAGGCTGGTCTTAACCAGGTCCACATTTTGCACAATGAATAGAGCAAACATTTGAAAAATATTCTGTGAATTCAAAGTTCACTCCACTGACAGCTGGAGTTGCTAACCAGGGATATGGTAGAAGCTTCCCTACTGCCGCCCTGAGCCAGTTTAAATTCCTTTTATTCTGCAGCTTGTTTTCTCTAGCAAGGGAAGGGGAAACAAAGCTCAGGATATCTGTGCTGTTCGAGCTTGGGTCTAGCCTGTGGTTAAATAGTTAGGGCAAGTAATGACATGGCTGCTTATCTCACTGCAATATGAATAGTTAGTTCATCAGGAAATTGTTCAGATCTTAACTTGGACAAGCATTCTCCTAAAAATGCTATAAGAAAAACCCTCAAAAGTCTGATCTGAATCTTTTGCAGTAGCACATACTCTGTGCCCTTTTTCTGCAAAATATGTCCCTTTGAACAAGAAATCTGAATAGTTGCATGTGCTTTTCTTTCTGGTTCTTCTACTTATAACTTTAGTTACCCTCGGGTTGGATTTGCAACTCAAGGTAAGCCTTTTATTATTTGTATGACCGCATCTCTTAGCACTGCAGGAAGGTGACAGCTTTTAAGAATGCATTTGAAAATTGTGTTGTAATAGTTAACTCACAGCCTCGGCTCTGGTTCCTGACTTTGTAGTAGCAGTACAGAGACAACATGATCAGATCTGCTGACACGTAGTAGATGGCAGTGTAAGTCTAGAGGAGGAAAGAGGATGCAACAGTTATCTGGCAAAACTGCTTCACCTGGCTCCATCAAGTGCATTGACCCTACAGCCTGCTTACCCAGGGCTGCAGTGGTAGCTGCTAGAAGTTTGAACAGACCACAGCTAATTTCAGTTGTGGACCAGCAGTTTATGGAGGCTTTTTACCTAGCGTAGGCATTGCATGCTGATCCCTACAGTTTCTACAGGCAGAGGGAAGCTGCAGTTATACATTATGAGGCTACCCTAATCTAAAAGGAGAAAGAGATCCCATCCTGAGTTCTTGTTATGCCACTAACCCCATGTGTAAATGGAGGAAAAAAAAAAAAAACTAAAAACGTGACGCTCCATTGTCCGGTGCTTTTACAGATCAAAGCCTCCCTTGAGCCACGACTACATCCTCTCCGATAAGTACGAAATGCTGTTCAACGCGCTGCATCAGCTAGAATAGTGGTTCCCAACCCTTTTTTTCTGTGTCCTGCTGCTGGGAGCAGGGTGCGGCAGTGGCCCAGGGACGGGGGAGCTCCCAGCATGCGGCACGGCTCGTCTTTTCTGTGCCGTGCCACCGGCATTACCCCCGTGACCCTCATTTGGGTCACGACCCGGGGTTGGGAGCCGCTGAGCTAGAACGTCCATAGGGAGAGAGAATTCTGACCCAGGAGACCAGGAAATTGGTTTGAAAGTAAGGTATGACAATTAATGTCTTGCCTGCCTGTGGGACTGAGTAGGAGCATGGTGGGTCTGAGCTCTGGCACCTTCAATCACAGACCGTGCACTAAACTTCATCCTGGTGGAGTTTTTCTAGCAGTTTGATAGAGCAAGACTCCAGCACCAGAAGCCCCTACATCTTGGGAGTGTCGGCTGCACCACCAGCTCCGTATCAGAGACGCTTCTCTAGTGAAGAAGTGTTCTGACCTACAAAGGGCTCATTATCGTGGAATAATTATAACAATTTTTTTTTTTATAAGTTGTGTGCGTGTGTACACACAATACACACATTTCATATTATACACAGCCAGAGAGAGAAAAACATATTATTTGGACCAGCAAGCAAGGTTTTTAATAATTCACTTGAATTTTAAACCTACTCCTTCTTCCCTTCCCGCAGGTCTGGCTGAAGGTTCGTTTTCACATCCCAGACCTGCCCTGCAGGTCCGTGGGGCTTCCGTACCACGGAACAAATTCAGTTTGTTCTAATCCACATCAACCAGATTCGGTCATACCCAAAACATAAAGCAATACCTGCAGCGGCAGCTGGTCAGCCAGGAACGACCCTATCAGATTGAAGGAGTCTCCAGCCAGCCATCCCAACAGGAAGTATATGGAGAGCGCCTCATCCATGTTACCGGTTTTACAAGCCTGGTAATATTGGCTGTGGAGAGAGGGTGTGACCATTAAGGAGACATGCAATCAGTTCACTTACACCCCAAGGACTCCCTGACTGGTCATCCTTGATGATGGGGCTCAATGAAGTGGTGACTACAGGGACCATGAAACTGGCACTAGGTATTCTCCTGTCCAACAGGTAACCCCATGCCTTAAGCAGCCCCTCAGGATCTTCTCAGTGCAACGTTGTTCATCCTTCAGTTGGGCTGATAAACTACTGCATCCAAGAGGACAATTCAGCGTGTGGCCTGTACTTCCCCTCCTCTTCAATCAGACTAGCACCCTGGGATAGTTCCAGACCTGGGAACTCCTACCAGCATGCTATTTCCTCACCGGTAGCAGAGAGTACAGTATTTTAAGAAAGCTCACCTTGCTCTGACCTTTGCATCTGCATATTCAGCACCACTTGCAGTGACTTTTGCGGCTTAGCTACACCAGGCTGACCTCAACTCACTTCCCCATCTACAAGTCACAAGCTCTGCATTCTAGGGCAGCAGGAGGGACAGAAATGTGTTGAATTGCGTACACAGGGATTACATTCCTGAACAGGAAGTGATTCACTTCTCAACCCAGTTGCAGCCGGTAAGCCGCAAAACACACCCACACCTTCCCATTCTTTGTAGGCTGGGGACAAAGCCGGTCGTTTCAAGGAACTGCCCAGCTCAGCAGGTCTTGCAAGCATGTGATCTGTCGGGCAGCGGGAGACTCATGGTGGGAAGAAACTGATGACCTATTACAAACTTCTAACTGTGGGAGCCTACATGCTAAGCAGAAGTTCCCTGTGAAGAACTTTTTTTAGTTGCAAAATAACTATATCATATTTTAGAGAGAGACTAGAGTTTTTAGCACAGCTGCCTTTTCCTCATGTCTCATGGGGTCAGGCATCAGTCTGATTTTTTTTGTTTTTGTTTTGTTTTAAATCTTAGGATTGGAGTATTTTGCAAAACTATACATCTTCATCTACTGAACTGTAGCCATCTCAGCAGTGGTGTGTCATGCTGGCAAGGCAATACTAGGAGTGAACTATGCTTGTTGCACGGGTTAAAGATCAGAGCTGTAAATAAACAATTAATCCTCCTCCTCCACCAATTCTCTCCGCATATAAAACCAGTCCTTCAAAGCCAAGTGGCTAGGCTCAAGATCTCCGCTGGAGGTGCTGGGTTTCCAAACTCTAAAGCCATCTCTCATAGAAAGGCAAACATCCAGCTAGACCTAGAATCCCCTCCATGGGACATCTCAGATACTTGTTCCCAGATGCGGCAGCTTCAGGGTTTTACTTACGGGAACGAAGCAGCCGCAAAGCAGACGATGGAAACCAGCCCCAACACAATGCTGGCGATGTCCCAACCATCCTGGGCACACTCATTGAACACGTCCCACACCCACTGGGAGCCATTTGGACAGTCCGAGAAGTTCCCCACTGGTTGACTCTGCCAAACTTTGGAGTCCATAGCACAATCAGGAAGGCTGTGGCCCTCGCTGGAGAAGCCTGCAGAGGTCAGGCAGCAGAAGGAATATTTTTGTTACAAGCCAGACAGTGTACCTGTTGGAAGAGTAGGAGAAAGCACCGGTGTTAATATGATCATAATGAGGGTCCGACGGTCTCATGAAGCTCTTGCTTGTTGGTTCAAAGCTGGCTTGCCCAGCAACAAAGAAAAGATCATCGATTGAGGCCACTTAGTGTGGCCTCAATTCAGATCCCCTAGTGGAGCAATCATCATATTTAAGCCTTTTATCAACAGAACCGTCTCTAGGGCAGCCAAGTCAATACCAAGTCTGTGCGTGATGTTTTTTCATGCCTGCCACACAACTCCTCCCCAGCTCAGGCCCATCTCAGGACTCTGGTGCTCCTCACATAGCCAAGTGCTTAAGACCAGTCTTTACAATGGTCTCTGGGAGCTGGCAGCAGGAAGCAGAACTGTCTGGCCTTATGGTAGGAAATCCAGCAAGAGATACAGTAAATCAAAGGCCCTTTTGACGTAGAGCATTTCCTCCTTCCTGCTGTGTTGTCTCTCCTAGGGTCCCGAGTATTCTCTTTCCAAAGGAAATAAGGAAGAGTCAGTAAAGAGAAGAGAAAACAAAACAAAGCCAGGGCTTAGATTTAGGCAATCAAACTGCATACCCACTAAGCTGCGAATGCTGTCATGGTCGACATGCTCTGCAGATAGTTTTGGCAGATAAGTCTCATTATCAAACTGCCACAAACCTTTTGGTCTGTATATCTTCCTCTTTACTGAAATACCAAGTCCTGTTCTCTTCTCCATTAGTGGTGGTAATAAGAACTATCCTCACTGAAGCCAGCCAATATCTGCCAGTGTCATCAGGTCCACATTAAGATCCTGTGTCTCTTCCAGCAGTCTCCGCCCACAAATAGCTAGCCAGCTTCTAATGCTGTTTAGACAATGCAACAGCAATATCGAGCACTGGGGCATGACCTTATGCAGGGGCAACTCAGGCCTTCTGTCAATAAATAGAGCAGCCTTTGGTCTTAGCCCAGAGAGAGGATGGAACAGACGCAGGTGAATGATGAAACATTTCAATTTGCCTCACAGAGGTGGATCTCTTCTCCCCGTCCCTCCCGTGCCACGATGCTTCCTACAGAACCGATTCTTCTCTTGCACCCTGGGGCCTCTTGCAAAGTCCTCTTGCACCCTGGGGCCCAAGGGGAAGGGAAAGTACGTCACAGCCAGCGCAAAGTTTCTATCTGAGTGTTATTGGGGTTTTTTTTTCCACTTTTGCAGTAGCAGACCTAATAATTAGCCCAACGTGAGCTCTCTTGACTAGTGAGGATGCTGCATCCTGCTCTGCCGAAGGCTATACTTGCTCCACCCACTAGAAGCAGGGCTCTTATTTTCCAAGAGAGGATCAGACTAATTTTAGTTACATTTCAAACAGTTAATGGCAATCAGGAGACATGCTGCATTTCTACCAATGGTTTATTTCTAGATTTACTGAGAACAGACCTTTGCTTCATTGGTGATGCATAGCGAGTCAGTAACTTCTCTAATCACAGTACACAGGGGACAGGAGCTGGCTTTAGAGACTTCAATTTGTGTCCAGACTTGCAATCAGGTGAAGTCAGGGCTTCCTGCTAATTCATTTGTGCACTGTCATGTCCAGATGCTGGTCAGAAAAGCCTCACTTATTTACACCAAGCAGCAATCCTTTACTAGCCTCCTAAGCTGTTCTTTGCAGGTTGTAGTGGTTGCACTCCATCTGGCTTGGGGACCCTTCGAAACCCTGCACCATGAACAAATTAGCCAGGTCTGGATACAGCCACTGCATAAATAGTGTGGGGTTACATGCTTCCCTGCGCACCCAGGAGACGCTTACAGCCTACAAGTGGGAGATGATCACGTCACCTCTGTGACGCCCCCATGAAACAAGCTTCCTTTTTTTTTTTCTTCCCCTTCCATCATCTACCAAATCTGCAATTGTCAAGTGCTTTAAGCTTCCAGGTAATCCATCAGGCTAACTATTGTTCCCATTTTACAGCAAGGAAAAGTACATTAGAGAGCATCGGGGGCTTGCCAGTGCGAGTCTATCAGCCAGAACAGAGCCCACACCTATTGCCCATGAGGACAACAATCAACTGTAATAGCCCAAAGCCTCTCAGAGTTTAATGACTTGCCCATGTGAACACATTGCTGATCAGACTTTAGGTCTCCACTGCTCAACAGCAGCATCTCTGACGGCACCACACCACTCCCTCCATGCTCCCCCTACCTCCCCGCACATTATAAGCCTACCTGAAACTTTAAGGGCATCGCAGCTCCAACAGTCCGGTGTCACCCAGGGCTCTTCCAGCAGCAGGGGTGGTTGCAGGGGATGGAAAAAAAGCCTTAAAAGAAAATAAAAAGATGTCAATCGAGTCTGCTTCTGGTTCTGTCTTTCATGAAGGCAGCTATAGGGATAAGGAGGAAGCGCAGAGGGGCCACTAATGAGTCATTACGGTACAGTCATCCCAAAAGGGTGGTGATCCTCTGCCGTCATCTCCTGTCCTCCCACTGCAACCAGGGGGGCAAAACGCCCTCTCCGCTGGGCTTGGCAGGTGCAGCATCGCCCCTTCCAGTCCTCCTCCTCCCGCCTCCAGCCTTCAGGCTGAGCTAAGGGCTGGCCACTCCTGGCCAGAAGCAGCAGCAGATGGACTCTGGTTCTGATCTGGGGCAAGGGTAGGGGTAGGGTCTCACCCCCTCTGCTCTGTCCCTGCCGCTCCCGGCTCCAGTTCCCCGCGCCGTGGCCGGCAGCCCCGATCCCGGCCCCGGGGTGCGGCAGGATCCCCGCGCCGGGCCCCGGAGCTGCTGTTTATGCAGCCGATCACCTGATCCGCCGGGTCCCGCCCGCCCGGGGGCAGGGCCGGCCCGGGGACCCGCCCGCGGGACAGGAGCCCTGCCCGGGCACACGCTCCTGGCCCCCGCTTTGGGGCAGGAGTGCAGCCCTTGCTCAGCGCGGAGCCCCCTTCCCACCTTTCTCCCCAGCACCAGGAGTGGAGCTGGGTGGACAGCATCTATCACCAGCGCGGTTTCCCCAAGGACAGGGGATAGATGAGCTCTTTTCTGGCACCCAAAAGCAATGCACCGTATAGTTAACCTGCTGCTTTCCTTTCCAGCAAAGATCTTGGCTTCATGCCGGCTGCACGGAAATGGGAGACTCCTCCCTAGCTTGTTCCCGCAGCCGCACGGCTGAGGGCAAGCGAACCCCGGGGGCATCCGAACCCCGGGCCTCCAGGCTTGCACGTAGGATGCCCGCCAAAGGATTTGGAAACCGCTGAAGCCCCAGGTGGGGGCGGAGGATGTTGGTCGGTAGCAGGGCCGGGATTTGGGGTTGATTTGGCTCGGAACACCAAAAAAATGTTGACGAAGCCGACTCGGCTCGGCGGTGGTCTCTCTGTCAGTCTGCACAGCGCGTCTCCTGGACCAGCACGGCCAACGAGCTCTCCGCCAAGGTGAAGACACTGGAGGCGAAGAGCCCAGTCCCACCTGCCCCGGCTGTGCGAGGAAGTATACGTTTGGGAGGAAATTTGAACTCTGGAGCTTGTGCGATGCATTACTAACGACCTTTGGCGGCCTACAGATTCACTTTGAAAAAGGAACCGGGAGTAAAGGACAGGGACTAGGGAGCCAGCGTCAGGCTGCTGGGTCACGGCATGGGGTTCGCTATCACGTGGTTGCTGCCCAGTTTGGGGGACTGCAGCATCGCCCCGCCTCCGGGCTTTCAGGTGTTGGAGGCACGGGAAGTTCTGGTTCCGAAAGCCAAGAGGGAAAAGGAGGCATCAGTGGTCCGACAAAACGCCCCAAAAGCCGACAGCTTAATCCACCCAGGCCAGAGCAATTGCAAGGCCGTGCTTGACCCCAGGCAGGGGTCACGGCCCGGCGGGGACTGCCGGCTACTGCTTGGGAGAAAGGGGCGCCCGTGTGTGGGAGGAGAGGATAATGCTACCGAAGCAGGAGGCAGAGGAAAGCCCAGGCCCTCTGGGCTGGGGGTGATTCAGGAGCAGGAGGCCGGCTGCTGCGGGCTGAGCAGCGGCTTTCGCCGGGCTCCCCACGCACAGGCGGAGGAATGAGGCTGTGCCCAGACAGCCTTGCCTCGGAGCAGCCCCGGCTCCTCCTCGCCTCACGCCAGGCTGAGTTTTGGGGCCAGACGAGGGGCTGGGTTTTGGGGCCGGCCTGCCCCACGCCCCCAGGAGACATGGAGCCGCAAGGTGGACAGGAGCTGGCGTGCTCGAATCTATTCTGGGGGGTTTCATCACACACGGCATTCATTACGGTGCGTATACGCGGCAGGAAGGCAAATAATGCACATTTGAAGAAACCCGCTGGACTGCTGTATCAATGGGATTCGACATTTCATATTTATTTTAATGACTTTATTAATGCTCTAAGCCCCACACGTTTATCTGAACACCGTAAATCCCGGGTTATTCTCAGCAGTCTCCTGGAGACGGAGATCTAATTCCTGGGGGCTCCAGGGCAATGCTGCAGGGTGGGCAGCAATGGGCAGGGTCCAGGGCCCAGGCTCAGTGCAGGCTCCACTAGGCATCACTCCCTGCTGTCCCTGGGGGAGGTTTCCTTTGCAAACCTAAGGAAGACACAGAAAGCGCCCTTACAACGTGAAGCCTGGCAGGCAGATCCGCAGCCCCGGGGAAGGGTCACAGCCCCCTTGCCCCTCTCTAGTGACCAACACACCACTCCCGTTTTGGGAATTTAGCGACGGTCCCTAAGCGCTGCACGCCACGATGAGCCTTTTCCCCCCCTCCTTCCCTGCAGCAGCGGCGCATGCTCTGTGGGGAAGGGAGGGGGTCGCCTCGGGCTGTGCGGCGGCAGCGCATGCGTAGTAAGAATATGTGCAGTTTGTGCGGCGGCGCACGCGTAGTGGGACTACGCCCGGCTGGGGCGGCGGCGCACGCGCAGGGGATGCTGCAGGCCGTGAGGAGGCTGGCAGCCATGGCGGAGCGGCAGCGGCCGGCCGTGGTGTTGGGCACCATGGAGTTCGGGCGCAGGGCGGAGCAGGCGGCGAGCGGGGCCATGCTGCGCGCCTTCCTGCAGCGCGGCCACCGCGAGCTCGACACGGCGCACATATACGCGGCCGGCCACTCCGAGCGCATCCTGGGCGACCTGCTGGCGGGCGCCGGGGCCGGGGTGGGCAGCGATGCAGGTACAGGCGGGGGGACCCCCCCCGCGTGACTGCGCATGCTCCAGCGATCAGCCCCTTCCCCAGCATCTCCCAGCACCAGCACAAGTTCAGTAGGCGCATGCGTAGTTAGTTAGTTAGTTTTGCCTCGTTAGTTTTTAACCTGCCCGAGGTGTAGGGGTCCAGCTCCAGGCAGCCGTGTGGAGAGCTGTTTCTTCATCTCTCTAATATATTTGTGTCTAAGGATCAAAGTACAGGCAGTCCTCGGACTTGCACACAATTAGTTCCCGACAGTTGAAATGTCATCGCTCGGAACCGATTTTCCCCCAGGAAACAATGTTATAAACATGGGATTGGTTCCTGAACCACGGCCCGGTACCCTGTTTTCACCAAAAATAACCCAGAATTTTGTACTCGATCAATTACAGATGAGTAACATTAATGTATTGAGATTGTAAATAGCAATCATTGATTTGGAAGGACTTCTTGGAGGTGACTTTGCTGGACTTTTTGAAGGGCTGCCGGCTGGAGTCTTCTCAGGAGTCCTGGCTGCAGGTTTTTCTGACGTCTCGTCGGCTTTCTTAAAGAAAGTGTCTGAGGACGTTTGCACAGATGTTCTCCAGGGAGGCGGGCAATGCAGCGAACTTGTTCGCTGGCGTGGCGTGGCATCAGATCAAGTGTTGTAAAGTCGAAACTGACATCAGAAAGTTGAAACGGTGTCCATTTATAAATGTTGAAAGTGCAAAACGTTGTAACTTGAACCGTTGTAAGTTGAAGACTGCCTGTACTATGTTTGTGCTGTACGCGCACACACACATACACAAAGGCAAAGGCCAGATCCTTTTTGAGGTTTCGTTCCCATTGAAATGGATGAGAGTTCGGCACCTAAATCCCTTTGAGCATCAGGGACATAGTCCCTCCTCTGCAAAATTTATAATCTAAGACTGTAAGCTAAAACTATCTTTATTTATTTATTTATTTATAATCTGAGACTATATTTATTCATAGATTCTGAAGTTGGAAGGGACCTTGGAAGATTGTCAGGTCCAGCCCCAATCTAGGCTATAATCTAATTTATAATCTAAGATTGATGCTAGGCTCTTTGGGTGGGAAAGCAGCGATCCATTGAATGCTTTAAAATATGTTATCATTAGCTTTTTACAGCAGGTAGAGGGGGGGAAAAATGCCTATAAAGCTATTATGACCCACTGGATCGTGCATAGCTACATGGCTGCGTGGGGTTTCCAGCATTTTATCTGTTCCTCGTGTGAATTCAGCTTTTGCCTTGCGTATGGTTGTTCGCAGACACTACCAGCCTTGCTTGGAGGGTTTCTATGCCTGTACCATGCTGATGTGTACGGCTTGGGGTTTGTCCATGTTCCTCATTCCTATCCTTGTTACTGGGAGGGATATACAAGTGCATTTACTGTTAATCTTGCTCATTCTGTTTCTGGCAGTGAAGATTGCCACCAAGGCCAGTCCATGGGAGGGGAAGACACTGAAGCCTGCGAGTGTTCGGTCTCAGCTGGAAACATCCCTTGAGAGATTACAGAGGAATAGTGTGGAGCTGTTCTACCTCCATGCCCCTGACCATGAAACCCCTGTAGAGGAAACACTTCAAGCCTGCAATGAGCTACACAAGGAGGTAAAGGGAGATGCCTGAACCTGGGCTTTCCTTCACTTTTGTTGTGTTGTTTCTTTTAAACTAGTATTACTACTTGCATCTCCCTCCTGGTGTGGGCTACATCAGCACACTGGTGTGGGGATTCCTCGGTGCAAACAGAAGAGAAAGCAGTGATCTGTAGGAGGATTTAACAGCTAACACCATATAAAAACCCCAATCCTAATCCCTTATCTGAAATCTCATCAGCTGTCAATCTTCAGAAATTCTGACCTTTGCTTTATGCTGTAAATTGACCCTACATTAACTTTAGTATTAGTAGAGGTGAGACGTTTTTAGACTGTATTTGCCATCTCGCTCTTGAATCCAGCTCTTCTAATTTAAACAAAATAAAGAAAGCATTCTTATGTAGATTGGGTCTGGCAACTGACCTCCAGATGAGACGAGGAGGGGATTATAAAAAAGGAGGGTTTGAACTTGAAGGCTGCAGTGCAGTGATTGTCCTTTTCATTGTGTTAATTGGCCTGTGTAGGTATGAATGCACTCTGTAAAACTGGAATGAAATACTCTTATTCCTCAACAGGGAAAGTTTGAGGAGCTGGGTCTCTCAAACTATGCAGCTTGGGAGGTGGCAGAAATCTACACCCTCTGCAAAATCAACAACTGGGTGCTTCCAACTGTGTACCAGGTGAGGGATACAGGCTTGACGCGGGCAAACTGATCTTCCAGTGGAGACTAAGACCAAAAAACCCCAGCCTCCCAGCGCGGTGTCCTGTGGTGTCACCATCCAGGGCAGCTCCTGGGCAAATTAGTTCTGCCTGTTATCGATGCCAAGCGTTAGAAAAGCCAGACAAGCCAGGAAAATTTACAAACTATTATCGTACTTGTTGCAATGACTCCCTGTCATCATGATTATTAGTTACTCAGGTAGTTCCTAGGAGCCTTGCCCTGGGATTTAGATCCCATTGTGCCAGGTACAAAGAACAACTACCTATTCTAATGAGCCCTTTGGACAAGAGTGATTACAAGGTGAAGTGGGGTCATTTCTCAGACAGATAAATAGGTGTTTGTCCTGTGTTCCAATAACTTCTCTTGATGTAAAACCTACAGTAGCTTAATCTTAATAGAGAGCTATAATCCAGAATTGTTTTTCCTCAGTAGGCACCAGCTTCATGTGACCTGATGGCTCACAGTTCTGATCTATTCCGAATGACCTGTAGTAGTCATGGGGGAGGGGAGAGAAGGCAATTCTGTCTCCTTTGTGCACTGCTAGGAACGTAGTAAAAGCCACATGATCACCTCACCTAGGGGGTAAACAGGAAGCAGTGTGTATGCCTGTGTATGAGCATGCCTGTGTGCGCACAAGGATTGAAATAACTGCTGTGAAGAGCTTGGTTTTGGGGACATAAGCTTGTTCAGGAGTTAACTTGGGAGGATGCCAGTCTATAAATATCAGTGGCTGTGAAGATAGGCCTAGAGGACAAAACAGATGCAGAGAAGAGCACAGACACATTCTTCTGAATGTTAACTTGTTTGCACTGTCGACCTGGGGCTTTGAAACTGTCACTGATATGTTGTGTTGGGCTGGTCACAGGAGCCTCAAATCTATATAGCATTGATATTCTAGTGTTAAGGCCCAGCAGTGACTGATACTTCAGACATACGGGTTAATGATGCCAATGATATTGATAATCCCCTACGAATCAGACTGAGTTGCCTTTCATAGATAGCCAAAGAGCCAATCGATGGTAACAAGCTATTGCTAGCCTGGTCTGGATTCACACTGAAGGACATCAGTTTTCCTCTTTCATTTGCCCTTCAGCTATCCAGGTACCATACTGAGGGTCTTTTTATTATTCTTATTTGTTGTAGGGCATGTACAATGCAACCACTCGCCAAGTGGAGACGGAGCTGTTACCGTGCCTTAGACATTATGGAATACGGTTCTATGCCTACAACCCATTGGCTGGTACGAGATGGGTGAGGGTAGGAGAAGTGGTCTGCTAAACGAGCCAGAGGAATGGATGAACAAAATTAAACAAAAATGGCCAGTAAATTGGCCTGCTATAAACTCTATGCAGCAAGCCAATACAAATACCAATGCTTAGACTCCCCTATACATTAAAACACTGCCAGAGGCTTACCAGTGAAAGATTGTGGTGTCAGAGTAACTGAGTGGCTCAGAGGGCAGATAATGGTAGCTTTCCATCTGTATGTTTCCAGCCTGAATCCAGCTCAGGTTAATGGCAGCTAGAAGTTTGAAGGTAGATTTGATCTCAGTTGATTCACTAATTGATCAGTGTGTGTTTATTGCTGTATGCTCCCCCACTCCCTCTTGAAAACAGCCCCAATGTTAGGAGCATCACCAGAGAGAAGAGGTTGAATTAGGCTGTGAAAACTGAACTCCCTCATTTGGACGGTAGGCTGTCTTTTAAAGTCTAAGGCAGATTGCCTATTCTGCATTTGTCTGACTGGAAGGTTATCAAATTGGCCCCTTTCCCACCAGTAGATTCATGTTGAGACTTTTAAAGAGGGAATCAAAATGACAAGTCTTTCACTAATGCGGTTATGCCAAAAAACCCCTCTCATCTTAGCATGACTCCTGCTGGGCTGGTCTCCCCTGCCTTTGGAAGGCTTCTGTCATTTAACCTGAATGTGTGGGATTTTTACATCCTCAGAATAGTCTCTTCTTTGTCCTGCTCCCTCATAAGGTTCGTGTGTGTACAGGGCTGTAGAGGCCAAGGGGTTGGAATATTTAAGGCTGCAACAATCAGACACACAGGTTGTAAAATCCAGGCCATTGACAATTGCTGAACCTTTGCAGGAGGGCTGCTGACAGGGAAGTACAAATATGAGGATAAAGACACGCGCCAACCCACTGGCAGGTTTTTTGGAAACGACTGGGCACAGGCCTACAGGAACAGGTATGATTTCAGTAGGTGGATGGACAGAGCTGGAGTTCCTGTGGTACTGGCATGCTGGCCTTGAGTTGGCCTAGATAAGTCATGCAGTGAACATGTAGGAAAAGACAAGTGACAAGGCTCTTCAGCAATTGTCCCACAGGCAGATGAGCTCCTGTGACTACTGCAGTGGTACACGCTGTTTACGAACAACAGTGCCTTTACATTTTCCTGGAGTAGCTGGATGACGACTTTGTTATATGAGACTTGGTAATGGGGAAAAGCGTAGAAAGGTTACAGCACTTGACTATGTAGGGAGACCCCTAGGTTCTCCTTTGCTTTACCACTGAATTAATAAGAAGCCTTATGAAACATCCTTTGAGTAGCTCTTTGCTTGTCTCCCAAGCTCTGGGACAAGGGATATTTATCTCATTACAGGTGATTGAGGCTTCATGTTTGCAAAGTTCTTTCAGTTCCCCAAATGAAATATCTCCTGCTCCTAACAGAAGCAACACATTGCAGTAAGGCAATTGCTGCCTAACCTCACTTCTGCCTATAAGTGCAGTAATGGCCTAGTTGTGAAAAAGGATGCAGGGTATGAGTTGGCTGTTGTCACAACACAGTTTATTCTGTTAGCTGAGAAAAACTTACATTCTGCACCAGAGAGAACTGGCCATTGGTTCCAAAGCCTCGGCTGGTAGGGTTAAGCTTGTTAACCTCTGACTGCAGTACCTTGGGGAGGTTGCCTTGGGGAATCAAGAATAAAATCCACATGGGTAATATAAGTCACTAGGGCTCTGTTGGTCCAAGACTCCCTGTGATTGTCTGGAGATGCCCCCCTCTTCTCTTACACAGATCCAGCCCCATAAGACAAAACCTGAAATAGAGCTACTGACTCTGATATCTTATAACGCAGGTACTGGAAAAAGCACCATTTTGAAGCCATTGCCCTAGTAAAGAAAGCTCTTAAGGAGGCGTATGGGGCTGACCCGCCCAGTCTCACCTCAGCTGCTTTACGCTGGATCTACAATCACTCTCAACTTAAGGTAACTGCTTGGCTTTAATGCAGACAGTTGGTGTGTGCAATAGAAACAGAATCCTACAGTTGGAAATCCTACATTTTCCAATTGCAACATATCAGCAGTGTGGTCACCTCTTAACCCACATACTAGCTTTGGACATTTCAAAAAGAACCATACCCCTCCGGCCAGGGGGTTGTCCTTCCTGCTATATCATGTCTCTAGGGGATTGGTCGAAGGAAGATGCTATTATCAGCTTTTCTAGTTTTGGTTTCTCAACTAGCCGCTTTCCCAGGAGGTGCCAAGTTGCCTCTTTCATGTGGCCAGGAATGTAATGGCTGGATTTGCTTCCCCCAGCCACTGCTGGCCACTTAAGGAGCGTAAAGCAGCTGCCTTTGACGGTGGTGAGACTTGTAGGCAGCAGTAGCAGCCTACTGAGCCTTGGCTTCGTTAGTAGGAGTGTAGGTAAGCCTCATTTTCCTAGGCACAACATGCAGCTGGGGAGGCAGCTTAGGTTTCCTTCAAGGTAACTTCTCTCTTCTCACTGCAGGGGGATGCGGGAGATGCAGTCATTATTGGGATGTCCAACATGGATCAGCTGCAGCAGAACCTCACTTACAGTGAAGAGGGCCCTCTACTCCCAGCTGTGGTGGAAGCATTTGATAAAGCTTGGCACCTCGTTGCACATGATTGTCCCAACTACTTCCGCTAGATCATGGTGGTAGGAAAGTCTGCGCGGGGAGTGGTAACCAAAAGTCTCTCCAGGTCTGAAACCACATCGCCCCTCCCAAAATGACAGATGATTTTTCCGGCCTGGTCCTATGGGTTCTGCCTGATAGACACTTGGTGCTGCCGAGTGTTTTTTTCCTACATGATTGAGATCTTTTACGTGATCATAATCTAGCTTGTCTGAACACTGGTGGTATTCAGTTCACGGACCATAACAGTGTCTGACCTTTTTTTCCTCTTTCAAGGCCAAAATGCCTTGAGTATCTCTTAATATTGCAGCTCTTGCCAGTCCTAATCAATCACACACCATATCATGATTCAGTGATATAAGTAATTTAAGGAACGGATCCTAAACCAGTTAAGAGAACTAAAGTGGAAATTAACTGTCTGTCTCCAATCTGGACAGCATCTTTGCTGTCAAAATAAAGCATTTTCTAAGCTGGATTATGTTGGTTTAATAGTGAATTTTGTATTGAAGGTTTGCTGAAAGCTATTTTTTGCTAACTGCTAATTTAATTTTCAGTTATAGCTACTGGACATGCTGCAGTTGCCCTCTGTTTTCAATCCAGCTGTGACACTTAGCAAGCCTCTCAACGATCAGGGCTGACCTTTAAACAATTAACTAGGCCTCTTGAAGCTGGGTTTAGCTGACATACTTGCTGCCTCAGCTACAGGCTTCTTAAAACATGTTTAAGAGCATAACTGAAGGAACAATCTTTGTTTTGTTGTCGGGAGACTCAAGCACAGGAACCATTACATTTGTTCAGTAACTAATGGCTGTATAACATTGTCTTCTCCCAATTCTACTGGGAAGGTGCCTATTTGGGCATTAGGCCGAGGTCCTGGCTTAAGAGGGAAATACTAACTTTATCCTTCCTAGAGGGGCATTTTGAATTGTCAGCATGCCACCAGTAAAGGCTGGAGTTATGCCCAGGTTCCCTTAATGTGTGAAATGCATTAATTATAATAAGTCAGGTGATAGTATCATCAAAATGATGTCCTCCCCTTCTGCCTCAGTAGTAACATTTATTCCACTGCCTACAGTTTTAAATAATTTTCCTTCTCTCTAAAATAAGGAAACCAAGTCATTTGAGAAAGTGTAATTAAAACAGCCTGAGAGATGGAGCAGGGAGAAACTATAGTGGTGACAGCTGTTTGGCATCTTCCCCCATTAAAACTGATAGACTTACGGGGTAACTCTAGAGAGAAGTTGCATCTCTACTGCATAGCAACAAGTTCTAAGCAGTTCTCCGAGGAGGAAAAATTGTAGCAATGTAGATTTGTGCACATGCTCACTGAGTCTGAAAAATAGATTTATAGGGAAGGGTTTCATTTTCCACATGATCTTTACCCTGTTCTCAGATTCTGTAAGGTCTCTCTCTCAGCCTCAGGGTTTCCCATCCAAGCAGTGATGAGCTGCACTGAAAGTGTCCAAACTGTAATTTTTTATATACAATTTAATTACATCTTCGGTGATAGATAACAAGTCCGAGATATTCAATTTCATCCTGCTCCAACTGGGAGGGAAACATAGGCTTCTACTGATCGTCCCTAAAACAGAACAACACTGTCTCTAGTGTCCTTCAGTAGCCTTGCTGCTAGTCACTGTCATCATCCTCCTCCTCTTCCTCCATTTCCTTTGGTTCTTCTGTGTCTTTGACCAGCTGCTGGAAGTCTCCTGTCTCAGAGTTCCACATGCATTTGATGGTCACTTTAAACTCTGACATCTCATAGCCAAACAGTTTCTAAAAAGGAAACAGGAAATCATCACTAATGGTTCTAGTCTCCTTGTGCCTAAATTGTACACTTATAGTAGAAGCCACTTTTAAATAGGGATGGTGAGTGAGGTAGGAATTAAAAGGCTCACTTTTGGAGAGGCATGTTGGCAAATGAACTACAACAATCACCTATATGCAGATAGTTTTCTTTGTCCATTTGCTATGCTGTAAGCTGACTACAATGTGAAGGTTAGGGTCTAGGAATGAGGTCAGCTGTTATGCACAACTCATTTAGCAATACCCTGGCCATATAGGGAACTTGAACCTAGTAATTTTCCTCTGTTTTTACAAAGAAGCAATAACTTGCCTCTTGAACATTAGTCAGCAGCTGGGCTTCCACAGTTGTCCCTTGGATTATCAGTTTTTCAAGCAGGTCATTAACTCCCTGTCAAGCATTGTTGCTTACAGGGCAAACGGTTTTTAGAAAGCATATCAAGCTGTAACAAACAGCAGCTACCCTACATCCTGATTGGTCCCTACATAACTGCAGTCATGTCACTTGAGCCCAAATGGCTTCAAGGTACAGAATTTATCTTCATATCCAAACCAACCTGGCATTTAGAGAAGGACTTTTAGTGGATGGTATAATGACACCTAATATGATGTAATATCATAATGATAATATGATGGTATTATGCTGACTTTTGCTGAATGGCAGCTGTGCAGATGTGCTGGAAGTATGTTACTCACCAACAGACGAGCCTGTTCAGGAGTCAGGACATCCCCCTCCTTACAGACTTCATAATCTGAAAGCAGTGTCACCACTCCTGCAAGAACATGGAAAAAGGAAGGTGGGATGAATGGCACTTGAGGCAGAGGACCACTGAGGTCACTTGAAACTTCCTATCCGGGACTTTTGCTACCAACATTGTAATGAAGCTACTTGCACTTGCTTCCATCCAGCAGTTTCAGTGATGGTTCTTACTTAAGTTTACCATTTATTCTGATTTTTCCCTCTGTCCTTCAAAACTGGTTTGATTTTGATCGAGGCCTGCTTATTTGAACTCTTAACGATAAATAGATTCATTCTTGAAACTAGTCTGTCACAGACAAAGGTGAACCCTGTGATTGATCTACTGTTATGTAGTCAGAAAATGACAGATGTGAAACAAGTGCCTGAAGTCTTGTTCATGGCTTACTCATTTTCATGCAAATATCAGTTCAGCCTGTTTCTACCAAAGGAATTTGGAGGAGGGAAATCAACAAAATACTCCATGTGTTATTTTTTTGCAAAGACATAGCATGACACAAATGTTATTTTCCAGTTGAGAAATCCTTGTTATCTGTAGGTCAGGTCAGGTTGTCACCAGCCAACTGGCTTGAAAAAGAAAAGCACCTTGCGAATGGAGCCTTTGTCAGGTGCCTGGACTCACCCATGCCAGAATGTTATGATATAAAAACAAATATGAAATTAAAGGGGACTTATATCAGATGTTCCCCACGGAACATCTGCTTCTGTTGTCTAGTTCTCCTTGTGAGACCCCCACGTGTATAAGACACTAACAGAAATGCTACCAAGGTTTAAAGGAAAATTCAGTAAGGGTAGACTAACTGCAAGGCCCCTGCCCCAAATACCTTTCTTCAAAGCAGTTGGCAGTCCCAGCTGTCGTAACTGAGGCTCCATGGAGTGGGGAAATTGCTCCAGGGGCCCCGTGTCCAGACTCACCGTGTATGGTGCTTTGTTACCTGCACGGGCAAAGTCCATCTCTTTGAACTCTGAGAACCATCTAGGAGAGAAAACCAGGGAGCAAGAGCATTAGCCGTCTGTGAAGTCACCACTCACTAAAGTCTCACGTGGGAAGAATCAGTCTGGACTAGTACCTCCTCTACCCCCAAGAAGCAAAGACAGAGCAAAAACAGCACCTCATTATGGTTTTCTACTGATGTTCACCACTGTGGCACCACATGCCTTCCATGTAAGAGAGCAAATTGCTTTAAGAATTATTGCCTGAGCCTCTGGCTCTTTGTTAGTTTATAGAAGGCTCTGAGGGCAGAGCCTTCTATTTTTTGTGGAGTTAGTGATGGAGGGAGAGAAGGGTGTGGTAACTGAGTTTGTTGATATTCCACCTGTTTTTGATGGAAAAAATAGCTTTGTGGGGAGCAAATTCGCAAGGTTTCTTAAAACATCATTAAAGAAACTCATCCCTTCCCAGCAGAGGTCACAATAATTCCCTAACAGATTCCTCTGTATAGTCTGGCTGGAGTGAATGACGGGCCAGATTATCAAAAGATGTTATACTGCTTCCATGTTGTCTCCTCTGCAGTCAGACAACACTGGAAGACAGTTTGCACTTCTCTGTGTTATCAGAGGTAGGACTCTGGTGCCTTGCTGCTGTTTGAAAATGTCCTGAAGGCTAAGAGTGAGATCAACACCAAGATGAACTAGATATCAGCTGCCCAACAATAGCTTTCATTTCACTGAGGGGGAAGAGGCTCTTGGTTTGCACTTTAATTGTCTGTCAAGATGCTTTATTAACAGTCACATTCCCAGTAAAATGAAGACCCTCTGTCATTAGGCTCAGTTTGCCTGCAGTAATACTTACTCATTCACTTCGTTTGTGGTACGATTGGTAAAAAGGAGACCAACTTCACCTCGCAGATGTTTGCTGATCTGGAAAATGAGAGGCACGTGAAATACAGCAGTATATTTATGAACAGTGCCAAAGACCCTTCAAAACAAAAGAATATATCCAGGCTGTGGTGGAACTTGAGGAAGCTTGTATAAATCACAGAGGGCCCTACCCTCCCATATGCAGATAGCAACTAAACAATCCTAAAGTTTCTTGCATTCCTTTGCAAGGCAACTAATGTTGGGAAGAAGGTTAAATTAAGCATGATTGCATGAATTTTCCTCCTGACAGAAAACTTCTCCCCTGGTTGAGGAAAGCCACACTTTAGCAGAACGTACCCACAGTAGGCGGTGAAGGATGATTGTTAAGTCATAAGAGGAGAGAAATGGTTGTGAATAACTGGGTTGGGGGATTGGATGGAAATCAAGCTCCCCGGGAGGTCGATAAGGAAAAGCATGAGAACCTGATTTTGGGAAGTCACTAAGATCTACTCTCATGTTGGGGCTCTTAGCATCTAGGTTTAGTTTTTCAAACTGCAGAATTCCACGGGGCTGAGACACCACATTTTTTAAAGCTTGAATACTGGATGCTGGGAAGATTCCCACAACTAGTTCCAGTCCTGGTTCAGCAACAGGACTAACAAAATTGAACGCCTGTCTATCATAGGGGGGTCTCTGTAGTTCCCACGGGACAGTCTTCTTATTTTTGCTGCAAAAGGATTACACGGGATAGAGTTGCTACAGTACTATTAAGGAATGTCTCCCGACTGAACATCCTATGAGCCTGGCACCCTATTCAGTGTCCTGGGGCTGGGAAAGGGAATTCCTGTTTCATCTTCATGCACTTGTCCTTATGTACACTGAAGGATAAATCCTTCGCTGCACTCAAACTGATGTATAGCGAGTGGAGCTATACTAGGTGGCAGCTAGTATCAGAGGTTGCCCAGACTGGAAATGGGGCCATATCATCCCAAAGTTTCCAGGTCAAAGTTCACTCACCTGAAGATGCAACAAATTAATGAAAGGCTGGCTTTGTAGTATTATTCTTCTGGTAGCACGCAGGTGTCCCAGTAACAGACTCACTTCCCTAGGTGCTGAACAAACATGGAGCAGACAGTCCCTGCCCTAAAGATCTTCCCATCTAATTATTAACCCTATTTATGGCAGATGGAAAAATACCGATCCAGTCTGGTTGTTTACAGCAGTTCTAGCGTTTCCCTCTTAGAGGTTTACACAAAGCAGAGGTTACTTCCGAAACACAAGTGCAAAAACTCCAGGAGTCAGAACCTACCTTGTGCAAGTTCTCCTTGTACTCATCAGCTGGACCTCGGCCCAGGGCCACCATCATGACTTTATTTTTTCCAAAAAATATCCTTAAAAAAAAAAAAAGTAAACTAAACCGCAAGATTCCATATCTCAGTATACCAGAGATAATTAATCATGGATCAAGATAAGCATTCTTTATCCAAGTCACAACTGTCTTCCGTTCTGATATTGCTAAGTGGAAAGGGAGTGTCGAGACTTTTCCTATTGTAACAAATTTCAAGAAAACAAGAGTCCTTTCCTGAATGACACACACTTTATCTGACCTTTAAATAATGTTTATGGTTCTCTGCATCCTCTCCAATCAAACCCAGTACTTATTCCTGTGGAACTCCACTAGACACATCTCCATTTAGTGGCCATTCCCACCGAGATGTCAGCTGGCTGGTTTTTAACATACGCACATTACATACTTTCTTGGTATTGTGTAGTGCTAATACTGAAATCAAAATGTCACGTGGTACCAAATTAAATATTTTATAGCAGGGGTGTCAAACTCATCTAGCTGGATCCAGCCCACCTGCTGTGTGCGCCCTGGATTGGCAACATTTCCCGTTTGCACCGTGTGTGCCAGCTCCATCCCCAGGCACTGTACGCAGCATGCATCTGCCTCCGCCTCGCATAGAGCCTGTGGAGCTGGTCCAGGTCATGTACTACGCGCACTGTGTGTGAAGCCAGTTTATGGGCCCGATCCAGTCCAGCCTGGGTCCAGCATGCTGGGCCTGCCTGGCACAAGCACCACATGCAGCCCGTGCCTCCGTCCCTGCCCCTTAATTATGTACAGAAACCCGCTTAAGCTCTGCACAAACTTAGAATGCAACATGCAGAAGCATCAATCACAAGGGAAGACATTTGAGAAACTGCTCCTTACCTGCTGTGTTTCCAGGCAGTTCTGATGTCTTTTAGCTTGTTGTTTCTCATGTTGAAAACAGAGAAAATAAAGAGGTATCTGTAGGTATCCACACATTTCCGCAACTGTAAGAAAGCACGTCAAGCAGCTGCGATGAACAGTGGAAGATTTCCCACTTCACACCAATACACATAATCAGAATAAGATAATGGGGTAGAAGCAGTATTTAGGATTTTATACACACATTGCTAACCCCCCGCCCCCCATCAGGTACTGGTAATGATGCAACTTTTTTTTTTTAATGTGAGCTTTCCTCATTTGAACTGTTCAACTCGGAAACTATCAGACTCTGCATTAAACAACTGTATAAACATAGGATTTCCCAAAATATATTAGAACCCATAATTTTTTTTTCATGGTGTGGATGGAGCAAGCTCTGAGCCTACGTCCCAGCCCCAAAAATCCATTTCATATAAACTCCTCACATCGAGGATGTATCAGATATTCTGGACTTTAACGTCCTCCCACTGAAGATGTATCAGACATTAAACTGAATCCATAAATATTAAACTGAACCCATACATTAACTCTACAGCGTGGACCCTGGTAGAAGTCAGTACCAGGGAAGATGGTAAGGTTGTGTTTCTCTGTAGCACACACCAGGAATTCACACCCAGCTCCTCGGACGTGTGCTCTTACCTCTTCTATTAAGTTCTGTTTGGTTTCTAAACCTTTCTTTGTGGTTTTTGTCAAGGAAACTGGGAAAAGAAAAGAAAACCAGTGTCAGTAGGAGCGATAAGCTGGCTGCTGCTCACATGAAACAGAACTACAAAGCGCACTAGTGGACACAGGGCGCTTAGACATCGACTTGACACTGATGGTTTTGATTCAGTCTCACCACAGCCGTGTCCTGCTGACCGTTCGCAAGGTTTTAGGGTCGGGGCGTCCCTAGGGCCGGACTCAGGCATGGGCTGCCCAGGACCCTGGCATGACCATCACAGAGGACAGGCCGGTGGTCCTCCGTTGATACGAAACCAGACGCCTTGATGTCGTCCGTTTGTCTCTCGAAGAGAAAAACGTGTTCTCGTTCTTCAAGAGAAAAACAGAAGACATCAAGGCGCCGGGGTTTCGTATCAAGAGAGGACAGAGTAGCACAAAACCGGAACGTCATCTCACCCGGACAGAAGGGGGGCCCGAAAATGATGCCAATAATTATCATCACGATCGCCGCTGAAAGGGGAAGTTTGTCGGGAGCTGGCTGAGAGCGCCTCCCCGAGGTAGGGGCTTTCACGGGCGGCCACAGCACCGCCTAAGTGGGAAAGCTTCAGACTGGCTTTCCCCGGGGGCTCCCTGACAGATGTCACGCTTATGCTGCGATGAACCCACTGATCCCATGTTGAAGCATGGCCTGGCCACACTCCCAATCAATCAAAGCGGAATACAACGAGGAATACAACCCGATGTTGTCCCCCCCTACCCCCTAATACGCGGGTGGCCGGCTCCTAACGCGCTTCAACGCAACGTGTGTGTGGTGCGATGCGGTGGGGGGGGAGGGGGCACTCACCCTTCTTGTCACGCTTGGACTTGGGCATGGCTCGCACGTTGCGCCGCCGCCAGGACCCCTCCGCCGCGGGGGCTGC